TGTGAATTGTTAATACGAGGGTTAACCGGAAAGGCACGTAGCTCTTGTGGGGAATTTTCTCGGGGAAAGTTAGGGTATCACTACTGTGGAGTGGGAAGCCAGAGGAAGTGAACGAGCAGTGCCAGTCGTCAGTAGCTCATTGTCTCATGGTGAAGGTTACAGATAAGCATCCTCATTGCGTTTCCCTTCAAGTGCAGAATTCGCGCTGTAATACACTACCTAAATGCTAAGGGCATGAACGCTGCTGCGATTCATCACGAAATCGTTTCAGTTTATGTAAAGACAGAATGTGACAAAATGGATACGGAATATATTGTGAGACCATAAAGAAACTTCAAAGAGCCATCCATAACGAAGGTTGTGGGATGCTGACAATGGGAGTCTGTCTCCTTTACCGCAATGAGTGTCTGCACACCACTCAGCCAACACAGTGGTCAGTGGTTCAATAGCCATACATTAAGGGAACCACTGACCACATAGGGAAGCTGATGAGGAAACACAACATGCAAACTATCTACAGACCCATCAAGAAAATCCAACAAATGCTATGCTCAGCAAAGGACAAGAGGGATCCTCTCACTTCTGCAGGAGTCTACCGTGTATCATGCAAGTCTTCATAGGGACCACCAAACGCAGCATTGCCCAAACACGAATCAGGGAACATGAAAGGCACTGCAGACTACTTCAACCAGAGAAGTCAGCCATAGCAGAGCACCTGATGAACCAACCTGGGCACAGCATTTTATTTGAGAACACAGAAATGCTGGACCACTCTCAGAACCACCATGTCAGGCTACACAGAGAAGCATATGGACAATTTCAACAGAAAGGAGGAAACCATGAAAATGAACAAAATCTAGTATTAAAAAAACTCTAAAATTACCACAGCAAAACAACAGAGAGGAAACAATCTGGGATATCTAATCACCTCTCAACAAAAGATTGTTCCAGGCACTAACAATCTGCACCAAACAACAGCCAGGCCATCAAATGCTAATCAAGGTGGTCAGTTGAAAAATTCACTCCTAGCTCCAACAGACAAGAGTCCTTTGTCCCACCCTGGTCATTCCACAGATATATAACCCCATTTTCCTAGTTCCAACAGACCTCACTACCTCTGAGGATGCTTTCCATAGATGCAGGTGAAACGTCAGGAGAGAATGCCTCTAGAACATGGCTATATAGCCCGAAAAAACCTACAACAACCCAGTGATGCTGGCCATGAAAGCCTTTGACAATACGTTGTTGACTTCATTTGGCTGGGATGTTTTAAGTCACCCTTCTCACAGCCCCAATCTCACACCCAGTGACTATCATCTGTTCACTAAACTGAAGGAACATCTTGGTGGAAAACACTGTCAACATTCAGCTCCTTTACTACCTTTATATAAGAAAATAGTTGACAACATTGTAAGAAATCCTTCTTTGTTAAATCTTTGAAAACTTTCCCCAAGACAATGTATCATTTTCCTTTACTCCTCTATGCCCATTTTTAATGTACCCACATTTTTCTTCATATGACAGGGACAGACAGTATGAGGAACTGCAAATGCTAAGGGAGTTCACAACTAAGGGCCCTTCCAGACAGGCCCTATATCCCAGGATCTGATCCCAGATTTTCTGCTTTAAACTGAATTATATGAGTCTGCACTGCCGGATAATCTGGAATAAACAGAAAACCTGGGAGCAGATCCTGGGATATAGGGTCTGTTTGGAAGGGCCCTTTCTTTATAGGTTTAAACCACTTTTAAAGGAACAGATAGAAAACAGACTTCGTTGTGTTATAGTTAACTAGCTGGAAATAAACATAGGTATTTCAGTGTACAAAGCATGTAGGATAAGAGCAAAGGGAAATATGATCACACGTATAATTTCTGAAAAACCTGTTTACTGGTTCTCCAAATTATATATCAAAGGTCAAGCTTTGTTGCTTTAGAACTGTTTCGAGAACAGCTCCCCCCCCCCCCCCCCCCCCCCCCTTCCCAAATTCCAATGTTGAAAATATAGTTTGAGAAGTAGATCTTCAGTTCAGGCTTTCACAAAATACAAAAGACATGGTGGCCTCCTATTTTTAGTTTAAAAAACCCAGCTTCATTGAAAGAAAATATGCGGAGTATAATCATCCAATGGCACTTGAACACAACAAAGTTCTCCAAGACTTCTAGAAACCTCCCACTGTAGTGTTGGAGAAAGGACATTCTACAGTAATTTGCTAGGGCATCTTAAAGCATTTTTAAATTGAAGCAATAGCAACAATTTTTGATATAACACATTTTGTGAGGGCCTTATTTTAATGCCAGTATTCATCAATAACCATCTGTAACAAAAGGTATTTCTAACCTTGTCACCTCCAGTCTTTGTCAACACTTCATGGATGGAGATGACATTGAGCTAGAAGGGATAAATATCAATAAGCTTGGCAGTTTAGCATACTGTCCTAATAAATAGATTAGCATACCATTTGCATATGAGAGAGGTCAAGAAAATGAGAGTAAATTGTTTGAAGAATGGTTGAACTCAGTGGGGTATATGTCTAAGTTGTATTACACAGGAAGAGGCAATTGTGTCCCTGTTTTGAATATTCTGCTATCACGAATATCTTAGAAAGGCAGTGTGGCTGTATTGTATGGCAGCAGTGAGTAGGCCTCCACCAATATATTAGTAGCCAATATGAAGGGAGTTTATTTTCTTGGTTCTTTACCATACGTCCAGTGCATCATAGATTTAAAGTCTATTATTATAGTAACTAATAGAACTACAAGTGATTTTAAGGAGATCAGCTTACTAGTTTTTCTTTCAGATAGATGAAATCAACGTGCTTGTCTAGTGTCTACAGTGCTTCTGCTACAGTCGAAGAACAACAGTGTGCTAAACAGTGCTCAGATGTTATCAGGCACCTGTTGGTCTTTTCCCATTAAGTGTTTGACACTTTTGTTGGCTACGCAAGAACACCAGGCAGCAAAGAAGGGACAGTGTGTACTTTCTGATCCACTTTGAGTTTCTGTTTATTAGCTCCATGAACGATGACAAAAAAGTTGGTTCTTCTGCAAAACAGGTGGGATGATGTCTTCTGAGAGTTTGGCCTGAGATGACTGTGGTTGCTTCGTTCCAGTCCTGAGCAAGTGAAATATTTTGTTAATATTGCCCAGTGACACAGTCCATTGGTAGATAACTGTAATAAATAACGCAATTGCTTGCCCTTTATATATGTTTCATTCTTGTTGTAGTAATTGTTGCTGGGAATAATAATAAAATCTTTGTTTAGAAAACACCAGTGTTTCTTGTCTTCTCTCTAAAGGTCTTCCTTGCATTTCCCACAGCTGGGAAAAGAGGAAGTATAAAACTACAGTCATTGATTTAATTGCCATCTGGAAGTTTAATGTAGAACAGAACTAAGGCTTCCTGAAAATATATATATTATAGAACACCACAAGCTGAGAGAGAATTACAGCTGTATTTACAAATGTGTACTAATGTACTAAAGGCTCTCCTTTTAGAATAACCACAAAACAAAAGCTGACTGAAAATCATAAACTCATTCATGTAAGCACCAAGTCTCTAAAGCATCCTCCCTGATTAGTAGGAAACTAAAATAACAGCCATTCTAAGATGATTAATGCGTCTATGGATTACTAGATGAGGAGTGGAGCTGGTTTTTGTTTCTCGCAGATGTTGGATTAGGGGTTTAAAAATCAAGCATGCCAACAAGATAACTTTCAGGCATCCTTGTCCCAAGCACACACTAAGCTTCAAACTAGATTCACTTTATTTTGCACAAGCAAAATCACAACAGCCTGTGAAAAGAGTGGGAAATCTGTAATGTTCCAGATGGCGCAAGACTACAGCGTCCTTCATCCCTGTTCACTGCCAAAACTATATGGCATTACTGGGATTTGGAGTCCAATAGATCAGGCATGGGCAAACTTCAGCTCTCCAAGTGTTTTGGACTTCAATTCCCACAATTCCTAACGGCCAATAGGTCCAAAACACCTGGAGGGCCAAAGTTTGTCAATGCCTGATCTAGGTTCTTACTATGATGCCAGCACAACAAAAGCTCTAAGTAATAATACAGAAAGTCTCAGCTATATCTGGTACGTTCTGTACTGCAGTTAAATTAGATCAGGAGGATTTGGGAGCATTAGAAATTAAATGACTAGGAATTACTGTATATACCCGAGTATAAGTCGACCCAAATATAAGCTGAGGTACCAAATTTTACCACAAAAAACTGGGAAAACTTATTGACCTGAGTATAAGCCAAGGATGGGAAATGCAGCAGCTACTGGTCAATTTCAAAATAGAAATAGATACCAATAAAATTACATTAAATGAAGCACCAGTAGGTTAAATGTTTATTATTATTATTGTTATTATTATTATTATTAACTTTATTTGTAGAGTAAAATAATAAATGTAATAAAAATAATACTAATAACAGTGTAAAATAATAAATAATTTTAACTCGAGTATAAGCCAAGGGGGGGCTTTTTCAGTCTAAAAAAGGGGCTGAAAAACTAGGCTTATACTCAAGTATATACAGTATGTTATTTTTGATTTTACTGTTGTGTGATACATTAAGACATGTTTAGTCTCTCAGTCAGGTCTTGCAATGATTTAACCGTTTATTTAAAAATATGGGACGAAAGGGGAATTCAGGTCCCATGTTACCTTTGTTTTTAATTTTTGTGGTGTGAAATTTTACCTTGGCATTTTAATGATGATATTTTTAATTATCTTTTAACTTAATCAAGTTTGAATGTATGTTCACTATTATTGGAGTCTTAGGATAGTGATTCTTGTCTATTTGTGCACGCTTCTGTTTTTGTTTTTAATGTTGATACAGTCAATGGACTAATCAATAAACTTTGCTTGCTTGCTTACTTGCATTAGGATGTAAGCCTACAGATGAAGAGCTAAAAGAAACAGTTAAGATCTACTGTTTTATGAACTGCCCCCCCCACAATTAATATAAATCTAGAAACACCTCAGTAATATATTATAAATATAATTTATTGATGTGTGTGTGTACACACAAGCACTATACACACACATATGCTGCATTTTGAAAGGAAAACATCTATTATTGAAAATAAGACGTAACAGTTTCAGAATTCAAAACAAATCTATTGTAAAGAAAAAGAGAGAAATAGCATAACAACACATAAAAGGAACAAAATTTGCACAAAATGAATATAAGTATGTATGTACACTTGTATGAATCACCAAGTAGGACTCCCTGACCTTTCAGGAATGTCTCGGTGCTGCTATGGCTTGTAAAACTTGTGGAGCTCACTAAAATGCGCCATCCAAATTGGAACGGAAGACATTGATACCATGAATCAATTTTGGCTGAATCAATTTGGAGTGAATCATCGGCAGGCTATCTTTGTCACGGCCAAAGAGGGTGGGAACATATCTGATTTTCTCTTGGGGAGGCTCTTTTGTGTTGCGCAGGAGAGTGAGGTCCAAGATGCCTGATCGATTCATGAGCCATGAAGCATAGGTTTCATCCGTGGGGCACGGGTGTGGGGGATAGACCATCTTTATGAGCTTGGGCTGCAACACAAGGTTCACTAGATCTTTCTTAAACATTTCCCAGGAATTATGCCGGAGAAAGACCTGGCAGAGCTCATCATCACTGAAAAGGAAAGGCAACATGAGTAGAGTTCAGGTTGTTCAGTGGCAATTCACCAGAACAGTTTCACTCTTTTGTTTGTTTGTTTGTTTGTTTATGGATATTTCTATCCCGCCTTTCTCCACAACATGGAACCAAGGTGGCTTACACACAGACTACAAACATTAAAATCAATCCATCAGGAGGACAAAATAAATAAAACCAAAATAAACAAAAATCAATAAACTCCTACATTTCAGATAAAACCATAACCTCCTCCCCCATATATCCCTTCTCCATCCTGATCATAAAACCTCATCTCCTGCCATAAGATAGATATGGCAGGAGATATGATAGATAAGTAGACATGTAGATAGATAGATAGATAGATAGATAGATAGATAGATAGATAGATAGACTGACTCAGCAGTAAGGTATATGTTTATTCACTAATAGTGTACTTACCTCGTGTTGCTTGAGTTTTCTAGTGGTATTTATTAGAAAAAAATCATTATACTTCAAACCCCAATAGAATTTTAAGTTGGGTAATGAAGAGTATGTGTGCCAATATCTATCAAGCCATATAGGAGTCCTTGCGGAACAACCAAATACACATACAGGCAGTCTGCAAGTTACAAACAAAAGAGGTTCTGTAGGTTTGTTCTTAAGTTGAATTTGTATGTAAGTCAGAATAGGTATATTTTAAGTGTAATTCCATATATACATACACACACACATATATACACACACACATGCATGTATGCTTTGGATAATATGTTCTTAACTGCGAGTCATTTTGTAAATTTGATGTTTGTAACTTGGGGACTGCCTGCACATACTTACTTTGACTTCTATATATATACAGAAAAAAGAAAAATCCTTTAGGCCCCTTCTACACCGTCGCTATATCCCAGGATCTGATCTCAGATTACCTTCTTATCCCATATTATCTGACAGTGTAGACTTCATATAATCCAGTTTAAAGCAGATAATCTGGAATCAGATCCTGGGATATAGGGACAGTGTAGAAGGGGCCTTAGATTTAAGGTGAACAACATATTACCCTTAGATATATCTAGATTAATACTCCTAAGAGCATCCAACCTACCCAACTCCCACAGCCAATGGTAATTAATGTTGAGAGTTATAGTATGAACAACACTCGCAGTCCTTTCATGCTAATTTTAATTCCACTTTATTTGCCATGGCTACATCCTCTAGACTTCTGGGATTGTATTTTGGTGGAGAACCAGAACTCTCTGGCTTCTACCCCCACTCCTAAACTGCTGATCCCAAGATGTCATAGGAAGTTGAAGCGGAAGCAAAATGCTATAACCGTATAGTGCAAATGGCCTCCTGAAGAACCTCATGTCCCCACCCATCTTTGTTTCTGACACAGTTCCCAAGATCTCATGTCATTCTTCTGTTCTTTCTGGAGACCAGGGCTAACTTATTACTCTCATTTGCTGTAAATATTATAAATTTTGAGGTCTTTTCCTACCCCAGGAACCAATGGCTCTGGACTGAAATGGCACTTGCTTTCTTTCTGCTGGCTCTTGGTCCCTCCTGTGAATTTTAGGACCAGAACTTGTCACATAGGAAGAGATAAATAAAGAAGCAAGCATCTTGTTTTCTGCACACATCATTTCTGATTTAACATTGCATAAACCCTTTTATTGGTTCCCCTTAGTGAGATATATCTATTCAAATCAAAGCAGAGAACCAAGATTTTAACACTGCTGTAACAGGATGGCAACATGTGTTCACAAAAAGAAAACAGACATAGTAGGTACAGCAGACTCTCTGTTAACTGGAACTCAAGCAACCAGAACTCTCAAGCAACCGGCAAAAGAAATCAAAGAAATAATGTCGAAGTCTTTCATGGCCAGAATCACAACAACCCACTTTGAGTCCCTCCCCCCCCCCCCACCCCAGGGGTGAGAAAGGCGGAATATAAATACTGTAAACAAACAAATAAATAAATAATCCAAAGAAATAATACTAAAGAATACAATCATTTCTGAACTTGGAAGAAATTCCTTTTTTCTGGTCACAACTCCCAGAATGCTACAGCCATAAAACCTGCCATGCTGATTGATAGATTGTGGAAATGTACCCCACAAAGTTTTTTTTTAATGCTCTATTTAATGGTTTCCTCATGATATAATTCCCTCTCCACGCACAAACACAGTGGAAGTCATCTGTTTCACCATCATTTTCATACTTGAGCCATATATACCTGGGATATTTAGTTGCCATATCGTTTAGCCTTGCTCTTGTGGTATCATCGGAAAATTCCTCAATCTTCTCCTTTTTCAAACGGATTATCTCAGCCCCTTTACTGACCAAAATCATTGTGCGGTTATCTTGCAGGTTGGCCTAAAAAGAAGTGCAAACAATGCAAAGACCAGTTAAAAGAGAAGTGCAACCATTGTGTGTTTCCAGCGTTCTGCTCAGCTCTGAGGATGAGCTTTTCCACACAAATATTCTGCTCCTCACTCCTATATTTGCAGCTCTGATTAAAGAAAAATGCAAAGATCTAGCCTTTTTGTGGTATTTATTGTGATACAGTGGGGAGCACTGTATCACAAGGCAATTTCCATTGGATCTGAAAAAGAGTGCACTGCAGCTGAAGAAGTGGTTTCATATCCACAAAAGCTCATGCAAATATAAAAATCATTTTTAATGGTGCTGCCACATTTCTTCTTCTACTTTCCCCTCTTTCCACTTCTCTTCTAAATTTGTATTTTATCAGGAGTAATTCATTTCCATGTTATGTCTTACCCTAAGCATGACTGATGCAATTTACATCCTAAAATTACAGTGTTGATGTTTTTCAGCAAAAACTTTACTTAAGAAAAATAGTAAACAATGAGCAATTTCTTCTCTGGCCCCAAGGAGAGTAATAAGTAAGGCATAATGGCTTCAAACTACAAGAAAGGAGATTCCATCTGAACATGAGGAAGAACTTCCTGTTTGAATTTTTATACTGTTTTTATATTGTATATTTATGCTTTTGGTTATGGGCACCATGGTGTGCCAGTTGTTAGCTGCCCCGAGTCCCTCTGCAAAGGTCGAGATAGGATGGGATACAAATGTCTGAAACAATAAATGTGAGAGTTGTTCAGCAGTGGAACTCTCTGCCCCAGAGTGTGGTGGAGGCTCCTTCTTTGGAGGCTTTTAAACATAGGCTGGATAGCCACCTGTTGGGGAGGCTAGGAATACCATTTTCCTACTTCTTGGCAGGGGGTTGGACTGGATGGACCACGAGGTCTCTTCCAACTCTAGGATTCTATAATAATGATATTGCTTTTATTTAGTTGTTTCCCAACAACCATCATTTAATATTTGGCTTTTATTCACTGTGTTTTCTCCTTCGTGCAAAAAAGGAAGAGTGAAACCTGACTGCGAGAAAAGAGTACTCTTTCATCCTGGGTTTTAGACAAGTACTGCAAACAGGAGGGCATCAAAACCAAAATCTATTTGCCAGCCCAGCTTTAGATCCACCACCAGATGACCACCTATAGACCAATATACTCACTATGTACTCCCCTTTATGCAACTGATCCATTCTCATGTATACTGCCGCTGAAACAGAAACTGGCATCTCTCCATAAGATGTGGTGTACATTAAATCCTTTTCAAATTCTCTTCCTGATATAATATTTTGAACCATCTCTTGTTCCTCACCAAGATGATGTTGTTCTTCACTAAATGAACTAGAAAATGGAGATATAAGCTTGTTGGTCAAGGCTTGCCTAAATTAATGTTACACTATTTTGATAAATATAACGTTTTCCTCAATATTTTCTCCTTCTGCAATGGGTCACAGGTTGACCTGAGGCATCCAAATGATGCCTCAGGTAAACCTGAATGAATGGGGAGAAAACTGGGTTTTCCCAGTTTACTCCAGATTAATTTGACACCTAGAAAAATCCAGACCTTAATGCAAAATCCAGTTCTTTCCAGGCGCAGGCCTGTGAGGATTGACTCAGAGGACCTCATTGCGCAATCCTGGAGGTCATATCCAACTGCCATCCCAATTCTTCAAGCTTCCCCTACAACCTCTCGGCACATCAATTGGACACGTCAGAAGCTGTCTCCGATGGGGCTGCACATGCAGCCAGGCCCCTCCAGTAGCTTTTTAAGCAAAATAATGGGCTATGTGGCTGGCTACATGCCTTCCCAGGTCAGCCTCTGATTGATCTGGGAGGACATTTAGCAAATCTCCAGGGAAAGTGCAGGTTTTGGAGGAGGTGTAGGGACTATATCCCAGTTCCTCCCTGGATTTAGCCCTATCTGGAAGGCCCCTAAGAAGCAAATGCAAGGTGGAAATCATATTCTTGTATAAACACTTTCAGAATGAATACAGTCAGCCCTCCTATGAATTTGATTAATTGCAGATTTGAATAATACAGCCTCTGTAGGAATCTCTAGCTCCTCCAGCACAACTCTATGGTCAGTTGTGCTAGAGGACCTATTGTTTCCTGGAGATAACACTTATCTAGGCATGTATAGGTCAATCCAGCCTGATTCTATGGTCATTGTCTGGTGGAAGTTTACCACAGTCATGCTGAAGGTTCGAGAGATCCACCACTATCACAAACATGGTTGATGGGGATGAGAGACAGGGCCTCCTCGGCAGTGGCCTATGGAACGCCTTCCCTAGAGATATCAGATTGGCCACCTCCCTCTTGTCTTTTAGAAGGAAAATCAAGACCTGGTTATGGGACCAAGCGTTTGATCAGTGAGCAGCAAGTGGAAGAAGATCACACAACTTATGGCAATGAATTGACCCGGACTGGTTTTTGGATTTCGATTTTAATGGATGTGTCTTAATTGTTTTAATTGTTGTTTTAATTTTTAATATTTTGATTGTACTGTGGTTGTTTTTATGATGCTAGTATCGTATGATGCTTTTGTTAGGCCACCCTGAGTCCCCCTTCAAGGGGAGAAGGGCGGGGTATACATTTAGGAAAATTAATTAATAAGTGAAAAAATAGCAGGGTTTTTTTATTCATGTTTTTTCTACTTTGGCAGGATCCTGCCAAATCCCAGCAAATGTGGTGGGCTGGCTGTAGATCACTGCTTTTACTTTCATTAATCCCTGACTTTAGAACAATAGTGGGGAATACAGCACCGGGCTGCAACCCTAATCATCCTAAACCAGCTAAAGGGGGGATATTTGTCCCTTTTCACTTGAGGGACAAGCAATATAACTTCTCTCATTATTCACTATGGAGATTCCCACCATCCCTTCCAATGTAGCATAAAACCAGCCTTTCTGTGACTGAATTATCTCTGATTCTGGCCCTTAGTTCCTGGCTTCCAGCTTCTTTATAGGCATGCCTCTGGCCTCATTTCCTTAGGTCCCTTCTGCACTGTCATATAATCCAGATTATCAAAGCAGATAATCTGCATTATCTACTTTGAACTGGATTGTGAGTCTACATTGCCAAATAATCCAGTTCAAAGCAAATAATCTGGATTTTATATAGAAGTGTAGAAGGGACCTTAGTTGTGTCAGATCCAAATTCCATGGCAGCCTATCATAAGCTAAGCAACAGATCTGAGACGCTCTAATAAACCATGCACAAAATATTGCCTTCATCCATTATAGTTTGCGTTAGCCTACTTATTTTCTCCCATAGGGGAACACTAACCCAGTTTTATTCTCAAATTATCTGGAAGCAAATCATGGCACATCTGATGATTTGAAAAAATAAAAGAAAGCTCATTTTTTTATTTGGAAAGAAATTACATAGCATCTCTCTGGGTTTCTTTCTCCTGCCATTACCACTAGGTGAACACCCTTAAGAAAAAGCCTACTACTCACCTCTTGTCACACGTATCCACTCCTATCACTACACTTTTTTGACTCCTGTTGGAGGTGTAACTTCCCATCTTGTATCTACTGTAGCCTTGGCTCGGCTGGTGAGTATAATGTTCTTTCAACTCAGTCAGTTTGTGCCCAGATTCAGCACAGGGACTCCACATGGTGCTTTTAAACCTGTCCACACAAGTTATCGCTGGAAACAAAGAGAAAAGATACCCTTGAAACTAGTTGCACTTGAACCAAAAAACAAGCCACCTTTTCTTTTATCATGTACTGAAGTTGCCAGTAACTCACTGTGATCACAATCTTGTCCACAATGGCATGCTTTTCAAAATTTCAGCTTCTAAAATGTTCCCGGGGAGGGATGATGGGTCATCATTAAGTAATGTTTACATGACTTCTATCCCACACACCCCCCCCCCAAAACATCTCTTTTTCCCCCATCCACCAAAATCAAGATATGTATAAAGCACAACTACTTTGCAAATTTAGTAGCATGTTACCAGAAAGTACATGGGCCTTCTATTGTTTGTGTGCTTCTGGGATCATATTATGCTATAGCACTCGAGTGCTATGGTTCTATAGCAATGTTTCTCAAACTCTGCTCCTCCAGGTGTTTTGGACTTCAGCTCTGAGAAATCCCAGCCAGGAGTTGTAGGAGTTGAAGTCCGAAACATCTGGAGGAGCAGAGTTTGAGAAACACTGTTCTATAGCAAACTATAAAATAATACAGGCACAATGGAACAAAGTATTATTGACATATGGAATTACCTCTTAATTATGGCTCATGGTCAAGCAAGTAATGTGCTACTGGGAGTGAAACAATGCCCAAAGAGTAAGACATTATTTTCCAAAGGAGCATTGTCAAGCCCTAGCTATAGATATAATTTTAGTGGCATTTCCTACAATCTAGATTCCTCCAATGTTGTTGGACACAGCCAACAGGGATTTCAAAGACTATAGTGTTCTTTAAAGAATTGAATTCCTTACCGGGAAATTCAAAATCCAAAATTCTCCACATAGGTGGCTAAGTCATAAAAAAATGTATAAGAGGTATATGAAACATAAATGAACTATCTGTTTAGACTTGGGTTCCATCTCCAAAATATCTCATTAAGTATATGCAAATACATCAAAATCCAAAATACATCTGGTCCCAAGCATTTTGGATAAGGGATACTCAACTTGTATTGGTTTTGCAACAAGTTAGATATATGTGAAACAGAGCCATACATTAATCTCCCAAGCATAGAACAAGCCCTATGAGAAGCGGCTTAAAGAGCTGGGTATGTTTAGCCTGAAGAAGAGAAGGCTGAGAGGAGATATGATAGCCATGTATAAATATGTGAGAGGAAGCCACAGGGAGGAGGGAGCAAGCTTGTTTTCTGCTTCCCTGGAGACTAGGACGCGGAACAATGGCTTCAAACTACAAGAAAGGAGATTCCATCTGAACATGAGGAAGAACTTCCTGACCGTGAGAGCCGTTCAGCAGTGGAACTCTCTGCCCCGGAGTGTGGTGGAGGCTCCTTCTTTGGAAGTTTTTAAACAGAGGCTGGATGGCCATCTGTCAGGGGTGATTTGAATGCAATATTCCTGCTTCTTGGCAGAATGGGGTTGGACTGGATGGCCCATAAGGTCTCTTCCAACTTTATAATTCTAAAAGCAGAATCATGTCTTGCACAAAAATCAGTGTGTTGACTTTTGTTGCTCCGCCTTCCACTTAACAAATATACAATCAAAACCTAACTTTGCCCATATTATTTTTCCGTATGTTGAGAGGACTTCCTATTAAGACCAAGAGAGAGTTTTGAACTAGATGCCAAGTCTAGATATACACAAAAGCCAAAATGAAATATACCAGCAGCCAAGCGCTGCCGTTCTTTTATCTGTAGTTTGCGCTTGGGAAAACGCATTTGCTTGGAGAGCCACTGGTGATAAGATGGACACGTGCTGAGGTCGACCAGTCGCAAAACCTCACAAACGCCCTGTCGAAATAAAACAAAAAGCAGTTGAATTGATCCTGGGATCCATAATCAGAGATTTTGCCCCAAGATGTCTAGGAGGTGGGAGGTGATAACCACACAGTTCTAAATCAAATCTTCCAAATATGAAACTCTCTTTACACGTTGGACTACAACTCCCATAACCCCAAAGCATGAACACTGATTTAAACATAGGTGGGCTATAATATTAATAGAAGGAATTATGTCCCCCTTCTTCAGTCATAAAATACAGATAAAACTTTTGCAGATAAGATTATTCACAGATTTGATTAAAATAGTCTCTCTAGAACTCGATACAGGTTCTCCAGCACAACTCTAGGTCACAACACACAAACAAGAAATCACTATGCATTCTGTTTACATCATGAGCATTCATATTCACTTCTAGACTGATCTCCTTCAATTCTAAGCCTTCATGTGTGGCCTTTTCTATCCTTCAGCTTTGCCATCATGTTCAATTTTTGTTCCAAAAGCAAAGGAGTTGCATTCCAAACTACGGTACTCAGAGGCCTGATCTCAATTGCTTGACTATATCTTGAACTCTCTCTTTTGTATGCCCTTAAACTAATTTCCTGGTCTTGACTCCTTTTGAAGATCTCAGTGCCACTCCAAGCTGTCGCTTCCCTACAACATGCCTACAAACCACTCCATTTCTGAAAGTTGATCAATGTTTTTTCAACAAACGTACCTGCTGTTCTCTAAATTTTTCAGTTACGTATTGCTATTACATAATATTGATTTTAATGATGAGATGCTGAGAACTGTATTTTATTATTTTAATTGTTAAATGTTATTGTTTTTATATGGTTTATACTATATGCAATTGTTTTTTTACTGTATTTTACCTTGTGGGGCATTGATTGCCAAATGTAAACCAAGCAGTGCCTTGTGTACAGAGCTACCCAAACATGAGTCTATCATTTCCTCCAGTCAGCAATATTGCCTACTATAATTAATTCATTGGCCCTTAATGTGCCACATGTTTCCTCACTTTAAAATCTTGCCTGGAAGCCAAATTATGAAAAGAGAGGAAGAGAGAACTGGTTTTGTCTCTAACTAGGAAGAAAAGAGAAGAAAAAAAAACAAGTTTTGGGGTTTTCTTAGGCATGTGCCCAGTTCCAGCAAGTCTGCCACACATTTCAATAAATTAAATTAAATAAATCTGAACATGTCTGCATGTTCTTGAGTCACTGTTTCACGTATATGTCACAGCAAGCATAGTGTAGTGGTTTGAACATGGGACTAGGACTCTGGTCGATTAGTCAAATCCCCACTTGGCCCTGGAAACCCACTTGGTGACCTTGGGCAACTCATACTCGCTCAACCTGTAAGGAAGGCAAATCCCCTCTGATCAAGCATTGCCAAGAAAACTCCTGATAGGCTCATTTTGGAATCACTATAAGTCAGAAATGACCTGAAGGAAAACAACAACATCGACAAAACCCCATCTGGGAAGAGACACAATCTCCACACAAGAGAGTGAATCAAACAGTTTCTTCTTAGAGCTCTTCATGGCCAGGTTTTATAAATACATCATATTAATAATTTACATTTTTTCAAAAGCTTCCCAATTAATAATGAATGTGTCCCTAGTCAATTAAAAGAATGTTTAACTAGTTAGTAGCCACAGTCTTAACTCCAACCAAAACTAAATGAACAGCATGCTTTCTATTTCCATGAAATCTACGCTCTACTGCACAACCAGAAAAAAGGCAAAGCATCCCCCTGCCAAAGATAACAAGAGGATGCAAAGCTGCATAAAATTTGCATATGTTGAATTATATGCACACACACACATTTAGAGATAATTTCTGTCTTTTATACTTTATTATAGTGAATTATGATTAGATAGATCAACTTTGCACATGGTTAGTTCCTTATTCAGATACGAAATGCAGTGGAAAGTCTGCTCTCTCTTATTCGTTATCTAATTAACAGGTTCAGAATGCACAGCTCTTCAATTGCAATTAGACCTCCATCTCTACAGATTCTGTATTTGTCAATTCAACTATCCATAGTATAAAAATATTTTTTAAATCCCATAAGCAAACATTGATTTTGCAATTTAATATAATTTTACTACCTCATTATACATAATCCATAGATTTTGGTATCCAGGTTGGGGATGGAAATCCTGGAACCAAACCCTAGCAGATACCAGTGTTCCACTCTATGTGACACTTTCAAATAGAAGACTATTCTCCCACTGTGCTTGAAACAGAGGACTGTCTTGTGTCATATAACATGCAGGATACCCTTATACTTAAAAGTTCCGGAACTGGAAAGCTTGAAAGGAGCAATCCCTTGGGTTCCTTCCCCCCCCCCCCCCCCCCCCCCCCCCCATTATATTACATTATTTATAGGAGCCCTCAGTGGCACAATGAGTTAAACCCTTGTGCCAGCAGGCCTACTGACAAAAAGGTCAGCAGTTCGAATCTGGGGAGTGGGGTGAGCTCCCATCTGTCAGCTCCAGCTTCTCATGTGGGGACATGAGAAAAGCCTTCCACAAGATGGTAAAACACCTGGGCATCCCTTAGGCAACATCCTTGAAAACAGCCAATTCTCCCACATGCAGTTTCTCAAGTCGCTCGTGACACACACACATACAAAACATTATTTATATCCTATATTTACCCAAATCTTGGAATCAATATGGCTTTAAGGGGACTGGATTTGATTTGGAAGTTTGGGTTCACACCATAAGTTTTTAGGGAAAATTATTTCCCCCTTTTAAAGATATCCGAAATATCTCACTTTCAAATGGAAAGACCACGAAAAGGATCTCCACATGACGAGAAAGGAAATGCCACAAACCATATTATGAAACATTGAATGAAAACTGATCTCACCTTCGAAATCAGTACTACATTGGAGGAGTCTGAAAGATCATTGGTGATCACCTGTCCATAGTGGGACCGCTCAGCTTTGCAGATGTTACTTATGTCCTCTATTGAAGAATCTGGCAATGTTTTGAAAAGATCCAGTGTTCTGAAAACAAAGGAAACACTTGTAATTTTTCTTGTAATTGAAATAAAACCTTAAGGCTTTCCTGCATGCTTGGTTTTTAAACAATCCTTACATTTTATGGAGGTCTAAACTACCTTTAACAGTGTCATTCCCATCTTTTTATACCAAAACTAGCCATCCCCTGCCACGCATTGCTGTGGCCCACATGGGGGTTCTGTGTGGGAGGTTTGGCCCAACTCCACAAGTGTTTACATTTGAGCATATTGAGTATTTGTGTAGAGTTTGGTCCAGATCCATCATTGTTTTAGTCCACAGTGATCTCTGGATGTAGGTGAACCACAACTCCAAAACCAAAAGACACTGCCCACCAAACCCTTCCAGTATTTTCTGTTGGTCATGGGAGAACTGTGTGCCAAGTTTGGTTCAATTCCATTGTTGGTGGGGTTCAGAATGCTCTTTGATAGTAGGTGAATTATAAATCCAAGCAACTACAACTCCCAAATGAGAAAACCAATTTTTTTGAGTGAAGGACATACATTGGGTTGTTAGATATCTTGTGTCCAAATTTGGTGTCAATTCGTCCAGTGGTTTTTGAGTTCTGTTAATCCCACAAACGAATAATACATTTTTATTTATATAGAAGATTTGTACCAAGCACATGTGGCATCCAATTTAAAAGGTGGAGGCAGGAATGTGAACAAGGCAGTGTGCTATTGTGAGCTTAATGAAGTCCCTCGCTGCTGTTATGCTTTTCTTTGGGCTTTACTTAAAGCAATTCCTTTAAGTAACATTATTGAAAGCTACTCCACGCAGTCTCATAAGGGTAGCTGATTAAACAGCTCCCCCCTTGCAAAATAACCATTTTCTTGGTGTCTTGGTTTTCAGACCTGTTATTGAGATTACTTGGAGTGCTGATGCAGATAATTGCATTGTATGGACCGCATCAGCTCTATTTCCTTAGATATGGAACTATTGCATGCTAATGATAATACAACAACATGGTGTGATAATGTCTTTCATCTCCGACTGTAGACTGACATATAGAACCTGTGCTCATCTATCATTTTAATTCCCCCAGAAGGCAAAATTGAGAATGACCAGGTAGAAAGAATTCATAGAAGAGGTTAGCACGGTGCAACAGGTCTGAAACAGAGACATGCACTAACATTATATAGCTGAGGGGAAAAAAGTCATAAAAACCATTCGTTTTCTGAAACAAACTCCAACAGTGTTAGAATAGGAGCTGACTTATATCCTAAGAGTGCTTTGGACCGCAAAAAGATCAAACCAGTCCATACTCCAGGAAATAAAGCCCAACTGCTCACTGATGGGAAGGATATTAGAGGCAAAGATGAAGTACTTTGGCCACATCATGAGAAGACAGGAAAGATTGGAAAGAGAACGACACTGGGGAAATGGAAGGACAAAGGAAGGAGGCCGACAAAGGACCAGATGGTATCCTTGAGGTGACTGGCTTGACCTTAACGGAGCCTAGGGTGGCGACAGCCAACTCAAATAAACAACAACAACAAAAAAGGAAAAGAAGCGATGCAAGAGACTGGGGAAAAGGATTACATAAAAAGACATTACCTCAAAAAATCAAACCGAATTTTTGATTCTCGTTGAAGTTCCTGGTCTAGTTTGTACTTGAAAAAATCCTTCTTATCCACAACCAGTAGCTCTGTTTCGTCCATACATACAACCGTTGCCAATCTTTTTGTTCCTTGTAAGAGGGCAACTTCCTGTTAATATTCAGAAAGAGAGAAAGCAAAAATACGGCTGATGATTTCCAATTTGTATTTGATTTCTAGTTTTCTATTCTTTTCCCATTAGTTACAATTTTCCATGTATCCTCTCTCCATTATCTTTACTTTTTCATGTTTCTAGACTCCTGTTTGCATGTTCATGTGCAAAATGTGCTCCACATATTATTATTATTATTATTATTATTATTATTATTATTATTATTATTAATACACTTTATTTAATACCCCGCCACCATCTCCCCAATGGGGACTCGGGGCGGCTTACATGAGGCCAAGCCCAACAGCATATTACAATAAAGTAAAACCAAAACACAATAACAACACAGTAAAATACATAAACATATGAGTACAAAGACGATAAAGCAAAATCATACACGGTAAAATAAAATAACATAACAACTTTATGTTGTTACCCCTGTAGATTCAAGCATCCATGGCTTGAAAATATTGTTTTACAATTCCAAAAGCTTGGTTTTGCAATTCAGAATTTGGGTACCATTTTACTACATCGTTTTAAGTAATGGGATAAGCATCCATTCGTTTTGGAAACCATGGGGGGGGGGGGGGGAAATCCCAGAACTTTAGTGGATATCAAAGGCCCACTTTCTCATTCATGATAAGTTATGACATGAGGTAGGTTACACTTACTCCAAAACAGGCCCCTCTGTGAATTAGAGTTGGAGATGGCTGCACAAAGGCGCTGGTCCCATCCTCATCATCAGTGATAGCAACTGTACCAAAATAGATGAAGTAGAAACTGTCCCCAGATTGCCCCTTCTTGATAATCACTCTCCTGCGTCCAAACCTCGGAAATGGAAGAACGGGCGACATTACAAGCAAGCAAGAAAAAATCTCAATTGGAAGGCTGAAGTCATGAGTATATCTTCAGCAAGTGAAGGTTGGAAACAGGCTGAAGATATTTATTGTCGAAGGCTTTCACTGGATTGTTGTAGGTTTTTTCGGGCTATATGGCCATGTTCTAGAGGCATTCTCTCCTGACGTTTCGCCTGCATCTATGGCAAGCATCCTCACTACCTCTGAGGATGCTTGCCATAGATGCAGGCTAAACGTCAGGAGAGAATGCCTCTAGAACATGGCCATATAGCCCGAAAAAACCTACAACAACCCAGGCTGAAGATAAATGCACACTAAAGATTTACAGTACATCTTGTCTTATTCTGTTCTCACAAGAGAGAATAAAGAACTTCAAGTGTTTTTCTCTCTACTAAGTTAAATTACAACAGTTTTTTTTCTAAAAAGGTGGAAGAACAGTCATGAGATCAAAGACTGGCAAATCTGATTGTGTGAATGAACTGATGGTGATATTGAAGGTGTTCAACTTGGCATGTATTCACTATCAATGATAACCTGACTCTAGTGGAAGAACAATTAATCCTATTCCAAATTACATATGGAAAGACGTATTGAACTCAGAGTGATTTATTTTTGAGTAGAAATATGAATAAAAGATGGAAAATAATGAAAACTACAGAAATGTTTTTAAGCTAAGGAAAAAGGCATTGTTCTATTCCTTCTCTTTCGACGTACTGTTCAAAGCGAACCACTCTGGCCAGAAGAGTTTGCAGAGTTGGGCTGTATTGTCGGAAACTTTCCAGGAGCTGCAAGCGGTTTTTTAAGTGCCTCACTTCATGATCAGTCCTCCATGCTGGTGGCTTCCTGGTTATTTGGATTGCTCTAAAAGGAAAATGATCCTGGAAAAGATTTCAAGCAATTTTTCAATGAAACAATTACTTCCATAGCAGTCCAAACTGACGTTTCTGTACCCAACAGACAATGCATGACAGATAGATTATATCTGTTGCTTTCAAGAGACAAACACAAATCAATTTAATTGCCTAGCTTATCCTATAGATACGCTTATGCAGCACTCCATGAAATGGTCTTACAACAACACCCCAACTACACAGAGAAAGCAAGGGATGCAGTATCTGCTCTGGACAAATCAAATGATTGTGTAATCACAATACCAAAATTGTGCCAATTTTGTACATACGGTAGTATTTTAGTTGGTTTTCACAACAATTTTTCCATATAAAACTATTAAATCAGGACTTCTTCAGCAACCAAGATAGCCTCAGTTTTAAAATCAGCAGTAATATCTCTTTCCACAGAAGTGCTATCAAGAGATCATAATGTGGCATTTTAACTCAATAAATTTTATTCCATTTTGGACATCTGTAAATGCATTTGACCAATTTTCCCCAAACATGTATTTTGTTTGCATGGACATTGAACACAGGCCCATCAGATGCCTCACTGGAAGCCCAAAAATAAGGATGTGAATTCAACATCTTTCTTCCTGTAGTGCACCCCACCAACTGATATACAAATATACTATGTCTGGTACTTGCACTTTATTTCTGGCATTACAATGACTGATAGTCATTGACAGCTCTGAGAAAAGTTACATTTTCAGACCATAGTTGCCAGAATCCCCCAGTCAGCAGGACTACTGCCCATGCTGGATGACAGATTCTGTAGTTCAAACAAGTAACTCTCCCAAGTTCTGGCTACCAATAGCCTTATGAGGCCCCTTTGAACCATATTGGCAATTGCATTTTTTGACCCTGTCAAACATCTGAGTGGAGGCAACAATTACACTATGTAACACAATTTTTGTTCCTGGGTTATAAATTTCCTAATTGGTTCTATCATAAAAACATGGGGAAAGTTGATTAACTGCAAAAACTTGGTTTTTGTGGGACATCCTTCAGCACATTTTGCTATAGTTTTCAATGAATATCTCCTTGAGTCTCAACCAATTCAAACTAGTTTGTGGCAGCCACAAAAAAAGTTTCTGGAGTATAACAACTACTTTAAAGTAAGTACTGCAGAATTAAACAGAAAATGTAACACTTTCAAATCAGGAACAGATATTTTTCAAATTTTGTGAAGGTGTTATCAACAATAAAAGAGAGGGCTTTGTGCTCAAAGGCAAGTTTTAATGGATGAACTAGAAATGTCACTCTTGGCACTTCATGTCACTTTGCTCAGAAAAAAAATCACCAACAAGTTTGTACTCATGGTAGTTTTAACACAATAATAATAATAATAATAATAATAATAATAATAATAATACTTTATTTATAACCCGCTCTCTTTCCCCGAGTAGATATATAAGAATCAGGAAACAGTATTATCAGGACCTTTGAAACGATGAATTCATGCTGCTCAAATACAATGTGCGAGCCTGTCTTTTCCTAAAAATAAGACATTGAACAATTAATTTCAATTTAAGAACTGTGAAAGCAGATGTCTTAAAAGTCATCTATAGATAAAGATAAAGGTTTCCCCTGACATTAAGTCCAGTCATGTCCGACTCTGGGGTGTGGTGCTCACCTCCATTTCTAAGCCAAAGAGCCGGCGTTGTCCTTCGACATGTCCAAGGTCATGTGGCCAGTATGACTGCATAGAGCGCCGTTACCTTCTTGTCAGAGCTGTACCTATTGATCTACTCACATTTACATGTTTTTGAACCGCTAGGTTGGCAGAAGCTGGGCCTAACAGCAGGAGCTCATGCTGCTCCCCGGATTCGAACCTGTGAACTTTCAGTCAACAAGTTCAGCAGCTCAGCACTTTAACCCACTGCGCCACTGAGGGCTCAAAAGTCATCTATAGGCATATTTAAAAGTTAGTTCCTTAAAACGATAACATCATATACGTTGTCTTTGTGTATTAAGAACTCTTGTTACTCTTTAAACACTCACATCTTGACTGTGACTGAGTTTTTCAAGCAAAATTCAACTGCATGTTTGCATGAAGTGAACTTGAACACAAAATAGGTATGTGATAGACCAGCGTCTTCTCTGCAGACTCTATGTTTTGAGTCAATGGAGTGGTTTATTGTTCTGTTGCCATGCAATGCCCATTTGGCTAGAAGAGGGTCTTCTTGGTTGTGGGATCCACCATATAGTGCTTGGGCTGAATTATTGTGGAGACATCAATTAACATTGAAAGGGAAATGAAGAAGAGGAGGAGAAAAACCAAATGGCAAACAAGTATTGAGAGTTCATGGCAACAGCTGATGAAGATTTGTAAATTAATCAAGATGGCCAAATTAATTAGGCTGACAGAGGAAAAATATGTGTTTAACTTTAAGAAAGATTTCAGATTTACTGGTTAGCATGTTCTAACAATCATGGGAGGACTAATTACTTATGGGATTTTTAAGCTAGTAGTATGTTGTTAAAGGCAAAAGTATGACTATATAATACTTATTTAAAGGAGTAGACTAATTAGAGCAAAAAAAGCCATCGGACAGAAAAAGTCTGTTAACTAGACTTCATATTTATTTGTCAACTTTTAGTGTATATGCCTGTATATTGGTTTGTTTTCTTTTCTGCGCCTAACCAGCCTTAGAAACCTATGGGCAAAACCTAAAGGGCAATGGTAATTTTCAAAAACGGGGTGTTTCAGTTAAAGTTCTTACTTCCTCAATCTCCCCACGGACGTCTTTCTCTATCAGTTGATATCCTTGGAATCCCTTCAGTCCACGTCGGAAACACCGGCAGACTCTGATCATCCGGATAAGGTTGGTAATGAACTTGAAGAAATTCTTGGGGTGAGCAGACAAAAAAAGAAGAAGAGAGAAGATGTACTTCGATTTCAAAAATATATAGTTAAAATACCAATTGGGTAAAAGACACTTAAGACTGGCTCCATTCATGTAGTTAAAATTCAAACACAATCTCTCTCATACACAGATGGTCTCCACCAGCTTTAAAGGGCCAAAGTCTTATTCATCCTTATGACCTTCAGGTATTTTGGACTTAATTCCCCATTACTATCACCACTGGCCTTTTAGCTGATGGGCAGCTGCAGTTCAAAAATGTGGGGGTTGCTAGTTGGGGAATGCTGCTCTTGTCAGTTTCTGATGCTTCCATATAACCGAAAAACATTATTTTCACTTACTTCATCGAGATTTTACTAAAATTCTTCTTCAATATGGAAAAACTCAAACTTACTGATATAAAAAAAAAATCCTCTCCCTAATGATGCTACGCATCTAGTTGTTAAATTGGATTAAGATTTCTAGTCCTTCCTGAACTGTGAAACCAATTCTTCAGTGCCACATGACTGCTGGGGTTAGAGATACAACATTCCCATAAAAACTTCTCTAATAAACAAGAATCCAAACAAGAATCCAGGAACATGAAAGGCACTGCAGACTACTCCAACCAGAGAAATCAGCCATAGCAGAGCACCTGATGAACCAACCTGGACACAGCATTTTATTTGAGAACACAAAAATGCTGGACCACTCTCACAACCACCATGTCAGACTACACAGAGAAGCCATTGAAATCCACAAGCATGTGGACAATTTCAACAGAAAGGAAGAGACAATGAAAATGAACAAAATTTGGCTACCAGTATTAAAAAATTCTAAAATTGCAACAGCAAAAACAGCAGAGAGAAAAACAGGCAGGGACATCTAATCACCTTTCAAGAAGAGTTTGCTCCAGGCACAGTCAGCCCATTGTATGCTAATCAAGGTGGTCAGTTGAAAGATCCACACCTAGCCCAACTTGCAAAAGCCCTTTGTCTCACCCTGGTCATTCCACAGATATATAAACCCCCTTTTTTCCCAGCTCCAGCAGACCTCACCTGAGGATGCCTGCCATAGATGCAGGCGAAACGTCAGGAGAAATGCCTCTAGAACATGGCCATTTAGCCCGAAAAAACCCACAAGAACTGAGTTCTCTAATACTTTTGAGATCTTTCAGGATGGCTCTAATGAACTTCTACATGAAGCTGAACACAGAATCATATTGGAGGACCGAGCAACTCCTAGAGAAGTGTTCTTTCAGATAAAAATCTCTAGGTTCTCTCTAAAAATCCCTGAGGCCCCCTTCCTCATGGCATTTATATGCCAGGATATGATACCAGATTTTCTTATTCCAGTTTATCTAGCAATAGAGACTCACATAATCCAGTTTAAATCAGACAATCTGGGATCTGGTCCTGAGATGTAGGGCAGTGCAGAAGGGCCTAAGTCCTGCAGCATGACTATAGGAAATGGAGTGACACTGGGAAGACCTTTGAGATTCCTAAAGAGAACATTCTTTACTCAAGTCTGTGAATAATCAAGTCCCTGAAAAACAAAACCACAAATGTGGAAGGATGACTGTATTCTTCTCCTTTTTCTCACACATACCCACACACCTCTGTAGTCTTATCTTTCATTGATAACTTCATTTTCATTTATTTTTTCCCCTCCCAATATTATCCAGATTCTCTGGAGGTGCCTGAACAGAATATGCATACCCTAGATTTCCCTTTTCCACCATCTTCTGTCCCGTAATCTACAAAACAAAATTAAACAATAGGTTTATTTTTAAAAAAATCTGAATTAATAGTCATAAATATTTTCTATCTCTTTTTTCAAACACTTTCTAAAAATACTAAAATATTACAGAAGATATAGCTACTTTGGCTACATATAGATACATATTCAGAAAATTGCCATTATTATTAGTTAGCCTGTAATTCAAATTAAACTTCCTTACAATCTCTTTCTGAATATTAGACACTGGTGACAAGCAACAGGAGATGACCACCAGTCTCAGACTACATTAGGCAGATAACTGACTATTATTGGAAACAGGAGACTAGACAAGGTAGGCCATGGTCTCATGTAACAAGTCAGTGAGGGGACAAAGACCTGTGAAGATTGGCTTCTTCAGTATTCAAGGTGCTTCTCAAACACAAATGCTTTGGCCAGTTCTCATGCTCAATATTATTTGGGGTGGCCAGATTACTGTGGGAATTACACTATGTAACAAAATTTGAAAAAAAAAGACTGTTCCTGGTTTATTTTTCCTGTTTACTTGTGTGCTCCTTACTTTGAAAGTAGTTGTTATCCTCCAAAAACTTCATTTTTGTGGCTGCTACAAACTGATTTGAATTGAGACTCTATGATATCTTCATTGAAAAACTACAGCAAAATGTGTTGCAGGATGTCCCGCGCAATAAAAGTTTTTGCAGTTTAATAAACTTTTCCATGTTTTCATGAGATAACCAATTAGGAAATGGAATTTATAACCAGGAACAAAAATTATGTTACATAGTGTTATTATTTATCAAGGGGAAAGCTCTTAAAATGTAAACACAGTTTTGGTCATTACAATGCGGTCAATCAAAGTACAACACTGAAGCACCTCAGATGCACTAATTGGGCAATTCAGGGGTGGAGAATGAGTAGTCCTCCAAATGGACAGATTGCAGCTCCTAGGATTTTTCACAATTTGCTATGCTAACTAGGGATGCAGAGTTGTGCAGTCCAACAACATCTGAGTCACTGCAAGATGTCCAACAACATCTGCAAGATTCCCACCCCTTTTAAAAGAAAAGAGGGGGGGGGGGAACCAAATACATGAAAGGTACCAAGACAGTTGGTGAGCGCAAGTTGATTGTGAGTCTTCTTTTTTTTAAAGGGAGGGACATGCAATCATACATATAAAAGGGAGGGACATAGAATCCCATCCAAGCTCTCTTGGCAGCAGGATCAACTGATGTAAAGAAGGATAAGGGGACAAGGGAGAAGGCCTTCTCTGTAGTGGTCCCTCAGCTCTGGAATTCAATCCCCAGAGATATTAGGCAAGCCCCCACCCTGGCAATCTTCAGGAGGAGCCTGAAAACTTGGCTGTTCCAATATGCCTTCAATGACTGATTATATGATAATCCCAAATTCTGCATAAAATGCCCTCAGAAGCACATTATTTTTCTGTTGCGCAATTAAATCCTACCTCATCCCCCGGACTTCAGACCCCCCCCCCCCCGCCTGAAATTCTCATGGTTATCCACGAGAAGGCCTTACTGATACATTATTCAAACTGTCATGTTTAATCACATCAAGGCCTTACTGGTGCATTATTTAAACTGTTATGTTTATTCATATTATGATCTGATCACCACGCTCCATATATCCCATATGCATGGGGGTATTGGGGTAATGATACAAAAGGTTTGCTAGGGTAGACTCTCTTTCACTCAGACACGCCCCCCCCCCGAATCAAAATCCTGGCTACGGGCCTGCATTGCCCTATCTCCCAGTGTTTTAAAATTTTAATCCTTGAATTTGGTCCTGCCCATTGTGATCATTTTTAGTGTCTCAATGTTTTGATTTTATATTGTTGTGTTGCTTATTTACATTGGTTTTGTATTTTAGGTTATTATATTTTTTGATTTTCTGTTATGTTTTGTGTTATATTGTGTTTACTGTATTGATGGATGTAGCCTCATGTAAGCCGCCCCGAGTCCCCCTGTGGGGAGATGGTGGCGGGGTATAAATAAAGTATTATTATTATTATTATTATTATTACTATTATTATTAAAACAAAGCTATGCTGCTGCAGGAAATGCTGCATTTGAAGATGTTGTGGGGACCGGAATACCTACAGAAAGGAATGTCGCTTGGGGTGTGGTGGAAGGTTAAAAGAGCAAGAAATGTGGTCACTATAACACAAGTTGAAAAAACCTAGATAAGATCCTTCCCAAAACACACACACACACAAAGATAAGAACAGGTGGATTCTATTCTGCTTAACACTCACTAAGCCAAGGGCGCAGAAATAGCTTTGTAGTGAGCAGTTGCTTTTTCCAGGGCTGGGTAGTCATGATGAGCAGTTTTCTGGAGTCAGTACCCTGGAGGCCTGAGATTACTCCACCTGCGGCATTCTTCTTTTTACAGGATGAGAGCCAACGGTCACAGAACCAATCCAGTGGACTCTCAGGGTTGTCCGCATTCCATTCTTCTTCCAAAGAGAACCCCAAGCACAGCCTCAGGGGCTGGAACTCAACTCCAATGCCTTCTAGCATTCCACCACCTACAAGGGTTCCTGCAATGACCCAGGAACCTGAAAACAGAGTTTTGAAATTAATTAGTTATCCTTCTTAGTCCAAAGGGCAGCTTCTCTTAGAGTTTAGGTTTCAATGTGTTCAAAAGTAACTAAAATAAATACTTTTGGTTACTTGAAAAATAAATGCTAAACATTATAAACAATTAGACTCTGGTAGCAAATATTTTGCTCCAATGGTCACGATGCAATATGAGAGACATCGTTTAAAAAAGATATTGACAAGCTGGAAGATGTCTAGATGAGGGCAACAAAGGGCTCTTCCACACAGCCCTATACTGAGGTAGGAAATCCCATATTATCTGCGTGTGGACCCAGATAACCCAGTTCAAAGCAGATATTGTGGGATTTTCTGCCTTAATATTCTGGGATATGGGACTGTGTGGAAGGGCCCTAAAATGATTAAAGGTCTGGAGACCACGAATCCCTAAGAGGAGCATCTAAAAGAGATGGGTATGTTTAGCCTGTAGAAGAGAAGGTTGAAAGGTGCCATGTGAAAGGCTGTCATAAGGAAGAGGGGGCTGCCCTTGAAACAAAGACTTGGAAGAATGGGTTCAAATTGCAGGAAAGATTTCACTTGAACATTAGGAAGAACTTCCCGACTGTAAGAGCTGTTCATCAGTGGAACTAAGGAGCCCCTGGTGGCGCAGTGGGTTAAAGCCCTGTGCCAGCCGGACTGAAGACTGACAGGTCGCAGGTTCAAATCTGAGGAGAGGCGGATGAGCTCCCTCTATTAGTTCCAGCTCCTCATGCGGGGACATGAGAGAAGCCTCCCACAAGGATGATAAAACATCAAAATCATCCGGGTGTCCTCTGGGCAACGTCCTTGCAGACGTTCTCTCACAACAGGATGCTCCTGACACCAAAAAAAATAAAAATAAAAATCAGTGGAACTCTCTGCTTCCAAGTCTGGTGGAAGTTCCTTCCTTGGAAGCTTTTAAAGAGAGGCTGGGTGGCCATCTGTCAGGGGTGCCTTGATTGTGCTTTTCCTGCATGGCAGGGGGTTGGACAGATGATCTCTTCCAACTCTATTATTCTGTGATTCTACGATTCTAAGAGAAATGTGGAATACACTCAACATAATAATAATAATAATAATAATAATAATAATAATAATAATAATACAACAGCCAACATAGTGACCTTGTTTGCTGTGTACTAATCTTGTTGTGTTTCAAATAATATGTTTATATTCTGCCCTATCTCCCCAAGGGGACTCAGGGCGGATTTACCACTCTTGTGATATTCCTTCTCCATTTCATGAGGTCGCAGCCTCACAGGAACTATAATAAGTCACTGCGGTATCAAGTAATTGTAAAAATAATGGTTTTAATCCACACGTGTCCACGGAAATCCATGGGTGATCTTTGGCAAGTTACCTCTCATTACCAGGAAGACAAAGGCAACTCCCCTTTGAACAAATCTTGCTAAGAAAACCCTGTGGTGGGTTAGCCCAAGAGTCACCGTAAATCAGAAGCAACTTGAAGTTAACATTACTATCAAAGTTAACATTACTATCAAACAAAACTATCAAAGTTATCTTTCAATAAGTTTCAGTCTTAATGAAATGTAAATTTACCATATTTATTGGCAAAAGTAATTGATCACAAGTAACTACTTCCTAGTAAGTACTTTCAGGAGCTATTTTTACAACTAGTTACTGTTAAGTTCTGATAAAGAGAACATGAAAAGAAATAGCCACCCTCTCCTTGCTCGTAGAAGGATTGTCTGATATTACTTTTGAGTATCTATTACAGATAACACAAGCCAACAAATATTTTTCATCAGATATAATTTTAGGTTATTCTTATAGGGTTTTTTTTTTTTGCGTTGAATCCAGATCTGTGTTTATTTTTTCTCTATCATGTGTAGTTTTTGTGACAAGGCTAATTGAATAATTAATATATTTATACACTGATTTCAATATAATGTAATAACATTTCAGAATGGTATTAAGGCCCAGGGTTAAAAAAACTTATTCATATAGTTGTGGGAGTGAGATAAAATGTAATTGGATCCAGAAAGATCCAATGGAGTTCTCCATCCATGGATTCAATGGCCCTTTGAAGGCAACCATAAGTCTGATATGGCCCACAATGGAAATGTGTTTGATACCCCTGCTTTAAGACAATTCTAAATTCAGCAGTGTATGGATGACATTATACTCTGAAAGCCATGATGTTTAATTACTGGTTACCATCCACCTTTGCACATGAACTATATTGGCAGTCCCTGAGTTACAAACATTCGACTTAGAAACGATTCACAGTGAAGAACAGAGGTGACACAACAGGGGGGTGAGAGAAATCTACTCCTTGAAAGAGTAGATTTCATGGGGAAAAGGTGTCTCAACTGAAGCTTTAACACCAATCCTTGATTCCACAACAAGCTTTTTTTTTCAAAATCCAATTATCACAAGGACAGAAAGTGAGGGGAAATCTTTTGAACAGGAGAACACACAGCAAAACAAATACCACAGGGGTGTTACCCTTCCCCATGGTATCCCAAAGGGCGCTCTCTCTCTCTCTCTCTCTCTCTCTCTCTCTCTCTCTCTCTATATATATATATATATATATGCTAGAGTTACACTTTAAAAATGTACCTCCAACTTACAAACAAATTCAACTTAAGAGAAAACCTACAGAACCTATCTTGTTCGTAACTTGGGGATTGCCTATACAGGAAAAAAAGCTACTAAGAGGTGAATGTCAGTTTCCCCGAAGCATCTTTTAATCCAGACAGAAACACAAGCTCTCTTCTGGCCTGATGCCAGAAAGAAAACTCTTGTCAAAACTGGAGTGCAGCTATCCCTGGAAATCACAGTGATTATCCTCAATATTTTAGCACAGTTTAGGTCAGACACAATTTTGAAATGCATGATTGAACCTATGCTAGGCTGGTACCACTGACCCCATCCTTGAAACCCACTCCCATTATGTGACTCATAGAAGGCAGAACAGTTGGGGGAAGCCTTTGGCCATGTTTCTGTAGACAGGGGCCAAATAAGTACAGCAACACTGAGATCTACTGGGACCTTCAATTTAGAGAGCACATTTCATCGTAAAATTGTTAGTTCTGTAGTTCTGTCACTCTATGATTGCAGGTGCTCTGTGCTTGTCTGTTATCATACTGTTTACAACCAGGGGAAAGTTTTAACTGTAATTATTTTGGGTTTTCTTCTGCTTTCTTTCTCCACTGCCCCCATCCCCCCTGTCTCTGCATTTAACCTGGATTTTATTGTAACTGAATAATGAATAACTGTAAACGTATTAAAAGTTAAACTTAATCCTTTATGATTGTTGAATTTCAAGTAAGACACTGGAGAATAACCTTTGATAGTATTTCCATCTTCATTAATTTACCTCTTCTGCAGAAAAATTAAGTTATCTAGAGAAGACAGATATTTATTTGGTCTCTTTTAACTGAGTTATTAAAACCACTAACGATCTATGAATATCAACTTGACCTCCCTGATGTACATGTTCTTATCTTACAATGATGGTATTGGATTGGAAGAAACAGAGACATGACAGAGTTAACTAGGTGACTTAGTAGTTATTTGCTATGGCAAATAAGATTTTTTTAATTGCTTACCTCACACTTCCTGAGATAGCGAGCCCATGTAGGCTTATTTGAAGGTAATGGTTTAGGAGAAACTGGGAAAGCTTCTTTCATTATCCTGAACAACAATGCAAAAAATGGATAAACATTTGTCCTATATAAATTATTATAAACTTGAGTGGCATTGCCCCACTTTGACCAAAAGGAGAGGCGGGTAATAAATTAAAAATACATTATTATTATTATTATTATTATTATTATTATTATTATTATTATATTAAAAATGGGAAAAGATTGATATGGAGGAAGAAGAAAAAAACAAAAGGAGGGAACCATAGTATCAGTGGTCACAGAACTCTATTATAGTAGGCATGTGTTATTTTTAATTGGGAAATTCTTTAAGGGTCTGAAACAATCTAGCAGTTATTTTGCTGCATTTGCTTATAATTTTTATGGAGTTTAGTTAAAATGATGATCATTCAAATATGAAATGGATTAGAAATTCAAATAAACCACTCATGGGAAAGCAAGCTACTGTATGGCCATCTCAGAACTACAGTAGAAGAAACATAAAACCAAAATCGAACAATACAATAGAACTGTAGAACCTCATAACGGTTCTACACGGTTCCGGCCCCACTTACCTCTCCGAACGCATCTCCACCTATGAACCGGTGAGGACATTAAGATCGTCCGGGGAGGCCCTGCTCTCGGTTCCGCCAGCGTCACAAGTGAGGTTGGCGGGGACGAGAGACAGGGCCTTCTCGGTGGTGGCCCCTCGGCTATGGAATGCCCTACCAGTGGACATCAGGCACCTTCGTTGCTGGTGTTTCAGAGGAGGGTTAAGACGTGGCTCTATGAGCAGGCATTTGGATAAATATGCAATGACAACTAACTCAGTAAGACGGCATTGAACAAGGAACGAAAAAAGGACTATGAGAAAGGGATCTGACTCTAATTGAGGCGTTGATGATTATATGTGTGTTGTTTGTGTATGTGTGTCTTATATATTGTCAGTGTTGCTTATTTTTATTGTAAACCGCATTGAGTCGCCGCCTCAGGCTGATAAATGCGGTATACAAATGGAGTAAATAAATAAATAAATAAATAAATAACTTTAAAAAGTTTCAAATGACATATAGCCATCTTCTGACATACCTGGTGGCTGCCTTCTTTAGCAATGTGAAAGATACTTGAGGCTGAAGTATGTAATTGCTTGTACTGTCTGCTATAGTAGCCAAAGTCACTGTCTGCAAATCCTCATTACCATTTTTCTCTTCTGAAACATTTTTGCAAAAAAAAAGGGGGGGGGAGTGTTTTTCTTTAGTAAATTTACAAATAATCAGGGACTGTTGTTGTTGTTGTTGTCACTTATACCCTGCTTTTTCTCTCCAAAAGGAGACTCAGCACGGCTTGACATAAAAGCACTAGCATACAATTTAAAATATACAAACATTAAAACAGTATTTAAACATTCAAAGTTATAATCAATTAAAATATAGTCAAAGTTAAAACCAAAGGGATACTTGTGATAAATTACATAATGTCAGAACAAAATAGCTTGAACCAGGAGCATGGGATCTAAACTGCAGTCAAAAACACCTGGAGGGCCCAAGTTTGCCCATGCCTGGTGTAGACCCATATAATGGAGTTCAGTTAAATTCAAACTGCATTATATGGGTCTACACTGACTATATAATGCAGTTCAAACTGCGTTACTTGGTAGTCCAGACCCAGTCTTGGATGATCATAAAGCTCTAATAGGCTCACACAGAGATATACACTCCTTTAAACAACCTGGTCTCAAGTCAGGTTTATTTATGTATGTATTCATTTATTCTTATTGTAATCATATATGGAGTATATTTGAAATAAGCATCTATAATCAGTGTACACATACAATTAGTTTTAAATGTAACTGCACAGAAAAAAATATGAACAAGTCAATGGTGAACAAGTCTATATTTGGGAACCTTCAAATCATTTCCAACATACAGTGACGTGAAAGTAACACTACCTCCTATGACACTGAAGTATGTTACTGTCCACAAACAACTGCGCAGACAATAACAAACAACTTTCTCTTTCATCCTATTTATAATAGTGTGGGGTAGTGAGCTCAGAGGATAGATGATTAGCATGCAATTGCTCTCTCAAATGTTCTGTTGCCTCTGCCCAATGTACAAAATGCTCAAAATCTTAGAGTCTTCAGTCTGGGCCTTTCCACACAACCCTATATCCCAGAATATCAAGGCAGAAAACCCCACAATATCTGCTTTGAACTGGGTTGTCTGAGTCCACACTCAAATAATGTGGGATTTCCTGCCTTGATATTCTGGGATAGAGGGCTGTGTGGAACGGCCCCTCTGTGTCTGAGGCTTCTGTAAGCTGCCTGCTTAGATGAACAGAGATGCATCACAGTGTAGACAAATTATAACCCAGAATCAAATCAATGACACATTTCTTACCTTGCACCTCAACTCACACACCTATTACCCAATATTAAGAAGTGGTGGTAAAATAGTCAAATGACTCCATAAATAAACAGCAGTATACATATAATTATAGATACAATGTTTAAGTCTTATAGCATGAAAGTACAACCGAGTAATGGGAATGTTATGTCTTGTCACAAGAATGCATAAAATGCCTTTATCTGCAGTAGGTCTCACTGAATTAAAGTGTTGGGATATTATGAAATTTTGATATAAATCTGAATATAACTCACCTTGAGAGCTGGTGACATCCAAAAGCTGGTCTTGGGGAATAATCACTTGTGCCAGACCTGGCAATGTTGAAGGAATAACATGGAGCACTTGTCCATTTTCAGACTGGTTGGCAAAAATAATCTTTGAAGGAAATAATTAAGTATGTTAGCAAAGAGAATGTAATGGCATAATTTAACTGCTGTGAAGGACAGCTGCCAAACAACGCAAGCACAATCATAGTAGTCCCTTTTATTTTGCGAGAGGCACTATCACACGCTAGCCACTATATTGCGTTGATCCTATTACATGGAATAGAAGCATCTTACCATCATGGTGATGGCTGCTTCACACAGCTTCAGGCATTGTGTGATTGCATTGTTGTGGCTGCGTGAAGTCGCTCTTATGTGTGAGCAGTCTAACTCCATGTTGCTTCTCCTCTTTTTTTGGAATAAGCATCTGCAAAGTGAATTTTTTTTGTAAAAAATAAAATAAAAGAGAGGGGAGTTCAGCAGATACTACTAGATAAAAACTTAGATGTACTGAACACGGCAAGTCTCAAGACACTAGCACGATCACAGAGTACTGACCAGCTTTGTCTATTAATATCCCCTAACAACTTCATTGCAAAAATGTGGCAAACTATCAACAGGCATCACACAACATGATGGGATAGGGACCATCACCAAGGGTGACAGTCCTTCTACTGTCCCAGTTCTACAATTTTGTGTGATAAAGTCATTCATTTATTTTGACACACAAAATGAATGATGTGTATTCTTAGAGCAAAAGAATGTACATTCTTGGCTTGTTGGGGATTTTTAAATTTTTATTTTTGTAAAATTTGTTTTGATGGATTTGGTACCTTTGAAAACAAACTCCGCATTTTAGCACCTGAAAAAAATCTAGAGAAAGCACAGTGTTCTGAAAATCAAAATGCCTTCAAGAGTTATTTCTTAGTACAAGGACAACAGTTTGCATCTGTTCATTTACCTGAAATGTCTGGCTATCAGCTTCTGATTCTCCCATGTTAGAGTTTGCCAAGAAACCCTGGTCTCTCTGCATGCAGTTATCATGACCAGCTGCATTTTCTTCCATCATAGTGTAGGCTGAGAGACAACCAATCAAAATCTCAGGTCTGGAATGTTGCCAGAATGCATTTCAATTTATATATTTGATATTTCCTATTTTCAACTGATTATTCAGTTTCCATATTAGAAAAACTTCAAGAAAGCTTGGAAAAGGCAAAAAATTGTCACAAAAATGAAGTTTCTGGAGTATGACAACTACTTGCAGCGTGAGTACCACACAATTAAACAGGAATATCACTTTCAAAGCAGGAACAGTTTTTTTTTCCAAATTTTGTTACATTTTGTTATTTCTCTTTTTAGTAACTCACAATACCTTTAGCAATTTAATATATTAAATTAATATACAAATATAAAGTTAGTTACCAGCCTTCAGGCTTCCTGTCAGCAGTGTGGATGTCTTTCAGGCCCTTTCTACACTGCCATATAAAATCCAGATTATCTGCTTTGAACAGGATGTATATAGCAGTGTAGACTCATATAAACCAGTTCAAAGCAATGAGGATTTTATATTTTATATGGGGATTATCTGCTTTGATAATCTGAATTATATGGCAGTGTAGAAGGGGCCTTAGTATCTATTCGTCAGTGACATCAAGATGAAAATATAATAGCAAATGGTAACTAGTGGACTGCCGTGCATACCTTGTTGCTATTTTATAGATTGCAATATACTCAATATATCATTAAATACTACTAAGCCACCCACTTAAGAAATGGTAACCTACTGTGTTCATCATATGACGTAGGCTTCAAGTATAAGGTAGAGATATCTTGGCGTTTAAAAGGGGCTGCAAAGGGTTATCTTTCCAGATGCTTTCTGGAGTGACTTTTGGCAAATTATCAGGATTGAGATGGGCAAAATGGCCAATTCTGTCATGTGATGATATTTGTCGTTCTCAACTTTAAATTATTTATATGGCTGGTTGGAAGGGCCCTGAATCCACACTGCCATATAATCCAGTTCAATGTGGATTGTATACAGCAGTGTGGAAGTGGCCTGAGCCATGGTAGTTAAAGTGGTACCAAACCACATTAATTCTACAATGTTGGTGAATCAAGGCCTTGTTTGCTCACAACAACAAAATCTGTGGTTAGACTTGGGTCCCCTTTGTGGGGTTTAGCACAGCTGATAAATCACCAGCAATTATAAGATCTACCAACCGAAAGGTTGCCAGTTCGAAGCCCCAGGTCGGCGTGAGCTGCCAACTGTCAGCTTGTGCTGTAATTAGAGAAATTAGGTACTGCTAAAACAAGCAGGGGAGGTATTTTACGACACCATAAAGAAAAAGATCAGAAAATGTCAGGTGACTGAAAGGAAGAAGTCCTGATGGTTCTTCATCATAGAGGATGGAGCGGCAGCACCCCCCCGTGGCTGGATTTCAAGCACAACCTTCCAAGGCGCCAAAAACCTGGACGTTGACATTGACACAACATACCTCCTTCTGCTCTGTCTCTGTAGTGTCTATCCAAAACGGCATTGAATGTTTGCCATGTTATGTGTACTGTGATCCGCTCTGAGTCCCCTTGGGGAGATAGGGTGGAATATAAATAAAACATTATTATTATATTGTGAAATATCCCCTTATGTATATAAGCAGATATTCCCAAGCATTCTGGATAAAGGATACTCAACCTGCACAAAGCAGAAGAGGTAACTAAAATATCACTTAAACTTGTGTTAAATATAACTTCAAGGGAAGTTGTTATCCCCTTTTTTTTTGTTGTGTCAGGAGAGACTTGAGAATCTGCAAGTCGCTTCTGGTGTGAGAGAATTGGCCGTCTGCAAGGATGTTGCCCAGGGGACGCCAGGATGATTTGATGTTTTATCATCCTTGTGGGAGGCTTCTCTCATGTCCCCGCATGAGGAGCTGGAGCTGGTAGAGGGAGCTCATCCGCCTCTCCCCGGATTCGAACTTGCGACCTGTTAGTCTTCAGTTCCGCCAGCACAGGGGTTTAACCCACTGTGCCACCAGGGGCTCCCTCAGGGCCCTTCCTTCCACACGGCTCTATAACCCTGAATATCCCACCATGCCTGCTTTGAACAGGGTTTCCCGAGTCCACACTGCCATATAATCCAGTTCAAAGCAGAAAATGTGTGATTTTATTCAGCTGTGTGGAAGGGGGCCTCTGTGTGTGCCTAGTATAGTGTAGTTTGCAACTGTGTATATGTTGTAATGTTTATAGATGCCCTTTCAATGCTGCTTAATATTTAAATTAAAATAACTTGAAGAAAGTGAAAGGCAACATTGTCAGAAATATTAATATTAACTGAGTATTTTTGATTACAAAAGTGTGGATCAAACACTGAAAGCGAGTAGGCCGAAGCCTGTTAGAGTTAGTTTTGCCTCAGTGAAGGCCTTCCCTTCATCTGGGTTATTCAAGTTGACACACACCTCCTCAGTGCCATTCCAGGGATCCCCTCTGAGAGAGGAGCAAGGCAAGGCGCATGCGTGGCTGGCGCGAGGGCACTCCAAGGCGCGCGCCCGTCCGCGTTCTCGCCAGCGGGAGTGGAAGGCATGGAAGAGGGAGGAGTCGATTCCAGAACAAGTCTACTCAACCTCGCCTTCGATCTGGCAGGCGCCACCCCGAAGACCGCCGCGCTGCTTTCCGCGCAGGCGCGTAGAGGAGGAGCTCAAACTGGCACGCGCCGGATGTGAGATGTAATTTTGCGCACAGAAGGAAAGATGCGAGGGGAACTGAGCATGCCTTGTTTTTCCCCATTATTCCGGTTCCCATTCGACTCCTCCAAGAGAGGGGGAAAAGAGGGAAAGCAAGCACTCACTTTGAACTGGATTATATGAATCTACCTACACTGTAGAATTCATGCAACTTGACACCACTTTTAACTCAGACCCCTTCCACACAGCTGTATAAAATCTACATTAAATAGGATTATATGGCAGCGTGGACTAAGATAATCTAGTTTAAAGCAGATATTGTGGATTATCTACCTTGATATTCCGGGTAATATGGCTATGTGGTTCTCAACCTGGGGTCCCCAGATGTTTTTGGCCTACAACTCCCAGAAATCCTAACAGCTGGTAAACTATCCGGGATTTCTGGGAGTTGTAGGCCAAAAACATCTGGGGACCCCAGGTTGAGAACCACTGCCTAGCATGCCTCAATGATTTAAGATGGATTACATGGCCGTGTAGACTCAGACTGAATCTACACCGCTTTCTATCCTAGGATCTGACCCCATATCATCTGCTTTGAATTGGATTATATGAGTCTACACTGCTAGATAATCTGAGATATAAAGATAATATGGGGTTAGATCCTGGGATATAGGGCAATGTTGATCCATCCTCATAGGGCTCTTGTACACTGCCATATAATCCGGATTATATCAAAGCAGATAACCTTCTCGGTGGTGGCCCCTCGGCTATGGAATGCCCTACCAGCGGACATCAGGCAGGCCCCTTCGTTACTGGCGTTTCGGAGGAGGGTGAAGACGTGGCTCTTTGAACAGGCGTTCAGTTAATCATGCAATTACAACTAACTCAGGAAGACGGCATAATGAACAAGGAACAGTAAAACGACTGTGAGAACGGGATCTGATTCTATTTGAGGCGTTGATGACTATATGTGTGTCGTCTGTGTATGTCTGTTTTATATATTGTCAGTGTTGTATATTTTTACTGTAAACCGCATTGAGTCGCCGTAAGGCTGATAAATGCGGTATACAAAAGGAGTAAATAAATAAATAAATAAATAAATAATTGTCTGCTTTGAACTGGATTATATGAGTCGACACTGCTAGATGACCTGGGAAAAGATCTGGGGTCAGATCCTAGGATATAGGGCAGTGTAGATCCAGTGTCATAGGCCTCTTGTACACTGCCATATAATCCGGATTATATCAAAGATAATCGCCATTGTCTGCTTTGGATTATATGAGTCTACACTGCTAGATGATCTAGGACAGTGTTTCTCAACCTGGGGGTCGGGACCCCTGGGGGGGTCGCGAGGGGGTGTCAGAGGGGTCGCCAAAGACCATCAGAAAACACAGTGTTTTCTATTGGTGATGGGGGTTCTGTGTAGAAAGTATAGCCCAATTCTCCCATTGTTGGAATTCAGAATGCTCTTTGATTGTAGGTGAACTATAAATCCCAGCAACTACAACTCCCTAATGTCAAGGTCTATTTCCTCTAACCTCCTCCAGTATTCGCATTTGGGCATTGAGTATCTGTGCCAAGTTTGGTCCAGATCCATCATTGTTTGAGTCCACAGTGCTCTCTGGATAAAGGTGAACTACAACTCCAAAACTCAAGGTCAATGCCTATCAAACCCTTCCAGTATTTAATGTTGGTCATAGGAATTCTGTGTGCCAAGACTGGTTCAATTCAGTCGTTGGTGGAGTTCAGAATGCTCATTGATTGTAAGTGAACTATGAATCTCAGCAACTACAACTCCCAAATGACAGCATCAATCTCCCCTTCAATCCCACTAGAATTCAAATGTGGGCATATCAGGCATTTGTGCCGAATTTGGTCCAGTAAATGTAAATACATCCTGCATATCAGATACTTACATGATGATTCATAACAGCAGCAAAATTACAGTTGTGAAGTCGCAACAAAAATGTTATGGTTGGGGGTCACCACAACATGAGAATTGTATTAAGGGGTCACGGCATTAGGGAGGTTGAGAACCACTGGTCTAGGATAAGAAGATAATCTGGGGTCAGATCCTAGGATAGAGCCCCTTCTCATAGGCCCCTTCTACACTGCCATATAATCCGGATTATATCAATGCAGATAATCCACTTTATCTGCTTTGAACCGAATTATATGAGTCAACATTGTCATTCAAGGCAGATAATCTAGACTTCAGAAACTGGATTGTATCGCAGTGTAGATCCCAGCCAAAGAATCCTGTTTCAAATCGGATGGGTGAATACATATATACACACATGCATACACACATACACAAAGATAGATACACAGACGAGATGGACTGGTAGAAGAGCAGGCCATCGACTCTTTGAGCATTCGATTACCCAGCCTGGCGAGCCTGAGTGACGTCAGAAGGAATGAAGGAAGGCGAGAGGGCTGTGCTTTCCCTTTAAGGGCAGGCATTCTTAACCGACTGCCGAGCAATTCATCGGTTCTCCTGGCCACGTGGGGCGATCGCGGGGCCTGCGGCGGAGCTCCATCGGCTGGAAGCATGGCGCAGCTTCAGGCTCGCTTCTTCACCGACGACCCCAAGTAAGTCAGGCAAGGCACACCTTCGCCCTCTGAAGTTGAACACTTTGGGGTTTGATCCTGCGGGGGAGGCATAATTATTATGAAACCAACACTGAGATATTGGGACATAGGTGTGTATCTACGCTGCAAGAAATCAATAGGAGTTCGATACTACTTTCCTCAGTGCTGGGAGATCATGGGATTTGTAGTTTCCGGGGGAGCACCCACCCTCTTTAGCAAAGGAAGACTCAAGGCCTCGTAAAACTAAAACCCTCAGGATTCCAGAGCACTGGGCTATGGCAGAATGCTATGAAACTGCACCAAATCTACAGTGATGAACCATAGGCTGGTTTGCTGTAAGTTTTCCGGACTGTATGGCCATGTTCCAGAAGCATTCTCTCCTGACGTTTCATCCACATCTATGGCAGGCATCCTCAGAAGTTGTGAGATCTGTTGGAAACTAGGAAAATGGGGTTTATATATCCGTGGAATGATGTCTAGGGTGGGAGAAAGAACTCTTGTCTGTCTGAGGCAAGTGTGAACGTTGCAATTCATCACATTAATTAGTATTGCAAAGCCTTGCAGCTTCAAGGACTGGCTGCTTCCTGCCTGAGGGAATCCCTTGTTGGGAGGTGTTAGCTGTCTCTGGTTGTCTCATGTCTGGAATTCCCCCGTTTTCAATCATATGTATCTCACAACCTCTGAGGATGCCTGCCATAGATGTGGGTGAAATGTCAGGAGAGAATGCTTCTGGAACATAGCCATATAGCCCAGAAAACTCACAGCAACCCAGTGATTCTGGCCATGAAAGCCTTCGACAACACATTGAAAAATAGACTCTTTATCTCACTCAGGTCCCTTTCCACACTGGCCCCTTCCACACAGCTGTATAAAATCCACTGAATTATATGGCACTGTAGAAGGGGCTTAGCTTCACTGAAAGCTTTCTAGGACCTCCCCTACACTGCCATATAATCCAGATTATCAAAGTAGATAATCCAAATTATTTGCTTTGAACTGGATCATGCCCGTAGCCGGGGGGGGGGGGGGGGCTTGAGGGGCTTCAGCCCCCCCCCCCCCCGAAATTCTCAGGGTGGTCCACGAGAAGGCCTTATTGGTACAATATTTAAACTGTAATGTTTATTCATATCATGATCTGATCACCATGCTCAATATATCTCATATGAATGGGGGTATTAGGGTAATGTTACAAAAGGGCTAGGGTAGATCCTCAGCCCCCCCTCCCCCGAATCAAAATATTGGCTATGGGCCTGAACTGGATTGTATGATTTTACACTGCCATATATTTCCGTTCAGATCAAATAATCTGGATTTTATATGGCAATGTAGAAGGAGGCTAGATGTTATGAATTAGGATTGAAAGACTGAGATGCCACCCGTTTCTCAAAATGCCACTCTTTTTCCTCCGCAGGTACATAGTGGATGATGTTCCTTTCTCTGTCCCAGCTGCTTCTGAAGTTGCTGACCTCAGTAACGTTATCAACAAATTGTTGGAAGCTAAAAATGGTATGTCTTGTTTGGCGAGAAGTGATTTCAGACACTTTATCCTTCACCACTTTTCCTGATTTGATTTTAGCCCTCTTAGGAATTTATCAAATAACATAGCACTAAGCACATCTAGGATTTGTAAATATGCGGTGGTGCAATGGGTTAAACCCTTGTGCTAGCAGGAGTGCTGACCAAAAGGTCGGCAGTTTGAATCCAGGGAGTGGGATGAGCTTCTATCTGTCAGCTCCAGCTTCTCATGTGGAGACATGAGAGAAGCCTCTCGCAGGATGGTAAAACATCCAGGCGTCCCTTGGGCAACGTGCTTGCAGACTGCCAATTCTCTCACACCACAAGCAACTTTCAGTTTCTCAAGTCGCTCCTGACACACACACAAAACAAATTTAGTTACTATATATACTCGAGTATAAGCCTAGTTTTTCAGCCCTTTTTTGGGGCTGAAAAAATCGCCCTCGGCTTATACTTGAGTCAAAGTTAGTTATTATTTTACTCTCTTATTATTATTAAGATTATTATTACATTTATTATTTTATTTATTTATTATTATTACATTTATTATTTTACTCTATTATTACTGCTATTATTACATTTCCATTATTTCACTCTATCATTATGTAGTTTTATGTAGGTATTCCAAAATGTTGACCCTATGGGTACCTCAATTAATGTAATTTTATTGGTATCTATTTTTTATTTTGAATATGCCAGGAACTGCTACATTTCTCACCCTCGGCTTATATTCGAGTCAATATGTTTTTCCAGTTTTTTGTGGTAAAATTAGGTGCCTTGCCTTATATTCGGGTCAGCTTATATTCAAGTACATACGGTATTAAGTTGTAGGCCTGTCAGTAAAATCCAAATGAGATTAGATACCCAGTGCATAGATTGCAAAAATTGCCTAGCTAAATTCAGGACAAAGGAGACTTTACTAACAGATCTACAGCTTAGTAACTAAAACTGGAGAAATGTATATTATCCTTACACAAAATGTTGTATAATAGGTTAGGCTGAGAGAGCGGAACATGTAATTAAGAATTCCCAGGGATGTGTGAAAAGCAACATGAGGCCCCTTCTACACTGCCATATAATACAGATTATCAAAGCAGACAGTCTACATTATCTGCTTTGAACTGGATTACATGAGTCTATACTGCCATGTAATCGGATTCAAACCAGATAATCTGGATTTTATATGGCAGTGTAGAAGGGGCCTGAGTGTAGTAGAATAGAAGAACTTTATTGCCTTGTACATCATACAACAAAATTGAATGCCATCCCCAATCACATTATATATATAGAATGACAAAACAAAACATTATTTTGCATATGTCAGGGCTGCCTGTGATAAAAGTCAGTGGTTACTTTTGCCACAAGAGCAGAAAATAATTTCTGTCTGGTCTTCAAGCTTTCCTGGGCTAAGGTCTGTTTTCATGATTGCTTCAGCAGAAATAAAAAAGCCAAGACTGTATATTTAGGCAGAATATGCATTGTGGGAAAGTGTCCAAAGTATCATACAGTGGGGAAAAAACAAATATTTTATTTACTTGCTAGCTGTACCTGCCACGTGTTGCTATGGCCAACCTTCCCTCTTTCTCTTCTTCTTTTCTTCCTTCCTTCCCTCCCTCTTTCCTTCTTTCCTTCTCTTCTTCCTTCCTTCGCTATCTCTTTCCTTCCTTCCACCTTTTTCTTTCTCTTCTGCTGTCTCTCTTTACTTTCTTCTCTCTTTCCTTCTCTCCCTTTCTCTACATCCCCCCCTCTTTCTCTACATCTTCCCCCTTCCTTCACTCCCTCTTTCCTTCCTTCATTCCCTTTTTTCTTTCCTCCTCTCCCTCCTTCTTTCCCCTTTTTCTTTCCCTCCCTCTTTCTCTCATTTCTTCCTTCTCTACCTCTTTCCTTCCTTCCTCCTTTTTCTTTCTCTTCTCTTATCTTCCATCTTTCCTCTTTCCTTCCTTCCTTCCTTCCTTCCTTCCTTCCTTCCTTCTTTCTTTCTTTCTTTCTTTCTTTCTTTCTTTCTTTCTTTCTTTCTTTCTTGGCCTCGGTGTGGCCTCATGTAAGCCTCACCGAATCCCTTGGGGAGATGGTAGTGGGGTACAAATAAAGTTTTTAAAAATTATTATTATTATTATTATTATTATTGTTATTATTTCCTTCCTTTCTTTCTTTTCTCCCCTTCCCTCCCTCTTTCTTCCCTTTTTTCTGTATTGTCATTTAGCTTTTCATCATTTAGCTTTTGGGGGCTTTTTAAGTCCCTTCTGCTGTGTTTTTCAGTGTTTTTATGAGTGAAGGACATACATTGGATTGTTAGGTGTCTTGTGTCCAAATTTGGTGTCAATTCATCCAGTGGTTTTTGAGTTATGTTAATCCCACAAACGAACATTACATTTTTATTTATATAGATAGAACTTATATTCTATATTTCCTCCAAAGTGGGATTTACGGTGTCTTACTTTTAGAAAAGCATGACCTTTGAGAGATCGTAATCCTTTAAAGAAAAACCAAAAATCTGTTTGAGTAGAATCTTCTCAAGTGGTATACAAAGAAATGTAACTATGCAAGGCAGTTGGTTTCAGTTGTTAGACTGAACAATCGGCTGTCTCTGATCTGTTAGGAAACAGAGAATATGCTAGTGCATAAAAATAGCAGTTCTTCGGAAGTATTTTTCAGTGCCCAAAATATATCTACTCTCTCAAAAAACTACTTGTTTTATATTATGCACTCAAGAGACAAAATAAAGTAGACTTTGGTAAAAATAACGTATTTGGTTTCCTCGCTATCTTCATGTGTTCAGAATATATAGGTTCGTAACTTATCAGTCAGTTACAGATATGTTTGAGATAGTTTCCGTGCCGTCTCTCATACAATAAAAAGCAGGCATGTGTTTAAAAGTCTGCAACGTGAGCAGTCCCAAAATCTAAAGAAGTCTGTGCTCGTCTCAGAGCTAATCATGTGGTCTGCAACCCCGCCCACAACCTCTCAGAAAAACATAGAGCAAAGGAAATAACACTGCATAACAGAACTTGCCTACAACAAGTAAGCAACAGGATTATAGATAAAAAAATTACTAGAGGAGGCGTGAAGAATGTTGTAATTTCCAACACTTACCATATATATGTATGTGTATATTAAATGCCACAAAAACATTTTGTTACATTGCTTCATCACATTAGGTGACTCATCCTTGAAGTTAATAAGGGAAGAAGGCATGAATCTTTTAATAAAAACTGGATTGCTTTCAGTACATTTTTAAAATATAAAAATTGGTCTTGTGTTCAAGTTTGATAATAGTAATACTGTTGTTGTGGTTCAACAGCAACAGCATGATGGGACTGAGAGTGCAGATGAGCATGATGGGAATGAGAGTGCAGATGAGCATGATGGGAATGAGAGTACAGATGCAGGTGTGGGCTTTCAGTTTTCTCAGTTTTCTCAGTCACAATCTGTAGCTAGAGACAAGCCGCTTTTCTCACAGGAACGGAATGTGGCTGATAAGACAGCTGGTGAAGGTCAGGCTGCCCCACAGGTGTTGAGACGGAGTTTACGAATTGCGGCCAAGTATTGAGCTCATCCGTTGGTGGGAAAACTGCTTGTTAGCTGTCTGTTTGATGTTCAATGTTTTGATGTTTTACCTATAAGTAAACTGCCTTGGAGCTGGTTCTGCGTCAGTTCCAACGTTGCTAAAATGGCTTGCGTGTCTTCGACTTTGGGGCTTGGGGAAAGCCTGCTTCACGTTACCTCATGCTATTTCCTGGACTTTTACACTGCTTCTATGCTTCAAGTCTCCTGCTTTGACTCAAAGGGATTATATTGGATTTTTATCCTGTATTATTGATCTTCTCACTGCTGATGAACTGCTGTGTTTGAAAACCTCACAATAAACTTTCTACCTCACAATTTTGGCTGGTTTGTCAGAGATAGCAAGGTGAATCTTAGCCTGAGATACAACAACTGTTATATATTTGCAGAAGTGTAACTGAAAGGAGGCTGTACTTTAGTCATATCCGCTCCCCATTTAACAAGTATACTCAGGCCCTTTCTACACTGCCATATAAAATCCAGATTATCTGTTTTGAACTTCATTATATGAATCTACACTGCCATATAATCCAGTTCAGAGCAGATAATACGGATTTTTATGGCAATGTAGAAGAGGCCTCAGTGATAAATGACCTGTTTTGATTGTGTTTGACCTGACATTTGTCATGTTTTTGTTTCCAGAGGGCCATAAATATGTGGAGTTTGACTTCCTGGTCAAGGGACAGTTCTTGCGTATGCCCCTGGTTAAGCACATGGAAGTGGAGAATATCTCAACAGTGAGTCATCTGTGAAGGGGTTTGCATAGGGTGGTATGTTGGCAACCATATTGTAGTATCAACAAACTTTCCCTCATCTTTTTCCTCCTCTCTCTGGTATCCCTTTCCTCTACTCTCCAAATGTGCCAATCTTCTGAAGTTCCCCATTAGGTCCAATCCCAAATTTCTTTATAACTGGTAAGACTCACAGTTGAATTCTAAACATAATTCACTTCCTTGTTTTTCTGCCCGACTAGGAAGACGTAGTAGAAATCGAGTATGTAGAGAAGTACACAGCACCGCAGCCAGAAGAATGCATGCTACATGATGATTGGATCAGTTCTATTGAAGCTACAGAGGAATGGTAAAAAAAAGCTTGTTCAATTGTTCTTAATTGTCTTTGCTGCTTACTATCTGTTGGGTTTGCCATCTTTCATTCCCTACGTCAAGGGCTCAAACAGACAGGATGCAGTCCTTTGAAACTTTGGCCCCTTCTACACTACAATATAAAATCCAGATTATCTGCTTTGATAATCTGGATTATATGGCAGTGTGGACTCACATCCTCCACTTTGAAGCAGATTATGTGGATTATTTGCTTTGATAATCTGGATTATATGGCAGTGTAGAAGGGGACTAGGAAGCATCTTACCAAGAAAAATGAGTGGTGGTCATGTTATTTGCTTTAAAACGGTACCAATGTGGGGCAGGGAACTGGAAACCTTTTCCCAGGGTTATGTAAATGAACTAGAAATATCTCAAATTGACAGAGGAGAGGCCAGTTTATGGGTACCACTTACTACGTTCTCTGCTTTTGAATTCCATAGGATCTTGTCTGGGTCCTATGATCAAACTTCTCGGATCTGGTCAGTGGAAGGCAAACCGATCATGACGCTTGCTGGACACACAGAAGTGGTGAAAGATGTGGCCTGGGTAAAAAAGGGTGAGTAGATTTCACCTTTTCAAACCCTTGGGTTAAATTGGTTCTACAGAAACTAGCTGCCCTGTATTGTTTGGGTAACCAATTTATAACTCTATGTAACAAGATTTGTTCCTGGTTTGAAATGATTGTTTCCTATTTAATTGTGCGGTCCTTACTTTGAAAGCAGTTGTTCTACTCCAGGAACTTCATTTTTGTGGCTGCCACAAACTAGGTTGAATTGGTTGAGACTCAATGAGATATTGATTGAAAAAGTATAGCAAAATGTTCTGCAGCATCTCCTGCCAAAATAAAGTTTTTGCAGTTTAATAAACGTTTCCCATACTTTTAGGCTAGATCCAATTAGGAAATGACATTTATAGCCCAGGAGCAAAAAACACATTATATAGTGTTATTGAATTTTAATAAATATCTCTAAACTATTCAGAGGCTTTATTGTGGTTTTTCTGCAACAGATTAAGATGTCTTCTAAAGAGATGTCAAACTTAACCCTTTGGTCATCTTCAGAATCTCCAGTTTATGGTTGTTTATGTAGCATTTTAGATTTAAAACAAGGATTTGTGTCCCATGCACATTTAATTCGGTCTTGTCTGTGTATCAGTCGTTCAAAGGCATTTCATAGAATCATAGAATCAAAGAGTTGGAAGAGACCTCTTGGACCATCCAGTCCAACCCCCTGCCAAGAAGCAGGAATATTGCATTCAAATCACCCCTGACAGATGGCCATCCAACCTCTGTTTAAAAACTTCCAAAGAAGGAGTCTCCACCACACTCCGGGGCAGAGAGTTCCACTGCTGAACAGCTCTCACAGTCAGGAAGTTCTTCCTCGTGTTCAGATGGAATCTCCTCTCTTGTAGTTTGAAGCCATTGTTCCGCGTCCTAGTCTCCAGGGAAGCAGAAAACAAGCTTGCTCCCTCCTCCCTGTGGCTTCCTCTCACATATTTATACATGGCTATCATATCTCCTCTCAGCCTTCTCTGCTTCAGGCTAAACATGCCATTTGTCATCCTTTCCCCCCATAAACTTCTCTCAATCCTTTTGAGCTTTTGAAATAACTTCAGACTTATTTCTTTGTCATAAATACATAAAAAAGAAAAATCAGCAGAATCTTTCTCTTATCCTTTGGGTATGAAACAGTGAATCTCAACTTTCTTCCTTTGTTTTTGCCCTGTGTGCAGTCTGGGGCTTATAGCAGTCCCCAAATTATGGAAGACCTGAGGTACAAAACCAGTCTAAAATAATTTACTGTGAAAAATAAAATAAAAAAAACAAGCAAAGATGGGCTCAGATACTTATTGCTATGGAGTATTTCAGCCTAGCGACTCACCCACTGAATAGCATTGGAAGAAGCCAAACCTGGTGGTGCTGGGGTTGAGATGGTACTGTGCCAGTTCTCAATGAGAGGGGCACCTTAAGAAATGAACCTGTGTTCTCTCCCTGCCTTCTTTAGACAGCTTGTCATGCCTGCTACTCAGTGCTTCTATGGACCAGACTATCTTGCTGTGGGAGTGGAACGTGGAAAAGAACAAAACAAAGGCCCTTCACTGCTGTAGAGGACATGCCGGAAGTGTGGAATCAGTGGCTGTGGATAGCTCAAGAACAAAGGTAAACTGCATGACAACTTACTGAAGAAGGCAGACAGGAGAAAGTGTTGCTGTTTAGTGTAAAAGGCAGGAAGCCTTAGCATTGAACAGTTGTGTTGTTAAAATGCGAAGTATGAAACCCTGCGCAGACGGTCGGTCAGTGCGACTAAGCAACGTGCAGTCATTGAATTCTTTTTTTTAAGTTCTTTTTTTATTATATATATTTATTTTAATACATACACAACATTTATAGTTCCCACCACCATGAGGATTGTTTTCTTTTACATATTAATCCTTTTTGAGATGAACCTTATAGATTAAAATACTATATAACATTTGTCTCCAATTTCTTTCTTTCTTTTTTCTTAAATATTTTTTTAATTAATTATTTGACACAATCTCATATATAATCAGAAAATATACGTTCAGAAATACTGGAACATGTCTAGATCTGTATGTAGACAGCAACTTGTACAAAGTAAGTATAACATATTATACCATTCACTCGAGTTTAAGACACTTTCAAAGGAAAATCCATGCAAACTATTCCTAACTAGAACTGTGTCTATCTAGCTAGCAGCAATAGTGTCATCAGCTACTCCCACCCCCATACCATATGCAAAAAAAAAATGCCAATGTATTTTTTTTGGGGGGGGGGGGATTCCTTGCAAGGCAAGAAATGTATCTTCATGATCAAGATGGTTTCAGAGTATGTCCAAATACATCTTGATATTACATCAATAAAAAAGAAAACAAGAATGGGAGCAGGCAACAAAGTACTCTATTATGACTTGAATTCTTGACAGCAGAAGGTGTCACCCCAAAGGAGATTCATCAGAGAATGCAAGCTGTTTGTGATTGTGTGGATGTGAGTACTACGCGCCATTGGGCAAGTAAGTTTAAAGATGTTGAGGTGACACTTTCTGCTGTCAAGAATTCAATGACTGCACATTGCTTAAGTTGTATTGACCAACTATCTGCGCAGGGTTCCATACTCCACACTTTAACAACACAATCGTTCAGTGCTAAGGCTTCCCGCCAAATGGAACTGTAGAGGAGTCTACTGAACAAGCCAGTACCTGCACATACCAGTACTGTCATCTGTTGTGAAGTTATGAAGGTGGAAGCATTACTTTTCATTCAACCCTCATAATTTTAGGATAGGACTTTAGAAAGAGTCTGTGTAAAGGCTGGATGCTGGAAATAAAGTCCTGAGGAGGACACACAATCTAAACTCTGTTCTGGACATTTTCCTGTCATATGTGGTGTTGCTTGCTGAAGCACATTTATTTTCTAAGAATGACACCAAGCTTATATTGAGGGGGTTGTGGTTGTTTACCTTCAAATCATTTCTGACATTTGATGATCCTAAGGAGAACCATTCAGTGATGCCAGGAGATGTTAGGAATGACATTTCTATGCCATCCACTAATAGTGGGTGTTGTTAATGTGTGAATGGAATAATTTTGCCTTTATGCCTGCCTCTTTAATACTTCAATCTCACCAGGCACTGCTTGCAAAATGTAAGGTGTGTGATGCCTTACTTAGGCGAGTAAGGTGTGTGATGCCATAAAGTCCAACACAGGGCATGTTTTATCACTAGCTAACATAGCAATGCTTTCTGGGGATTTTTGGAAGTGTTACTGCCCCCCAAAAAGTAAATTTAGCAGCATGGCAAGTCTGGTGCAAAGCAACTGCTAGTGAGGAGCTCCCTTGGATTCAATTCAAATCTAGTTTGGGTTTAGACACACTGATTTCGGCCCAGTCTAGCCCAAATTAAATCTTTTGAATCAAACCTATTTTGAATCAAGCTTATAAAAAGCTGACCTTTCTCAAATGATTGTGACATTTCTGTTGAATAGTGGTGTTTGTTCTGTCTTTCCTAGTTTTGCAGTGGATCCTGGGATAAAATGCTAAAGCTCTGGTCTGCAGGTATGATATTGGAACATTAAGTTATATCTACAGGCAGTCCCCAAGTTACAAATGACTCGGAGTTAAGAACAGGGATGAGGCAACAAGAAATGATAGAAATTACCCCTCAGAAGGGAAATTCACTCCGGAACAAGTTATCATGGGGAAAAGGTGCCTCTACTGAAGCTTTATCACCAATCCTTCTTTCCACAACAAGCCAATTTTTTTTTTCAAAATCCAATTATTACAGGGACAGAAAGTGAGGGGAACAGGGACACTCATAGCAAAACAAACACCCGAGGTCTGTGAATCCTTCCCTATGCTATCCAGAGTTAAAAGATACATTTTTAAGTAAAACTCCAGCCAAAAATATATATCTGTTTTGAACTTACAGTTGAATTCAACCTACAGAACCTTTCTTGTTCGTAACTTGGGGACTGTCTATATATACTAAAATTTTCAATGCCTGCTTCTTTAAATTTTGATGCAATTGCATGCATGTGCACTTTTTCATGACTCATTGATTCAAAAATTAGGTTATAAATCAATATCTATAGTTATTCTGTTGGTATAGTTCTAACTGGAACTAGAAATTTGATGTCTAAATCTAAATGGAATTGCTTATAGGTCACAGTCAACAGAATATAATTTTGTGAAGTGAACAACTTACATATTCAGATAGCCTTTGATAGTCCACCACTGAGACCATATCTGAGATGTAAAGTATCTTTAGAGCAGGCTTCTTTGTTCTGGGTCCCTCCAGATAATGTGGATTATAATTTCCATAATTAACTATTGATTATATTGATTGTCTCTAATGCATGTTCTGGCCTAAATATCTGAACCCAGCTTTGGGAAGACTGTTTCTGCTTTTAATAAAGTTTTGTTAGGACTTTACTTACAGAACACTTGGATTCTAAACACACACCGTTGAGAAAACAAATTAATATGTTATTCAAATGCTGCTATTGTTAGAAATAACAAAGTAGAATCAGTTATTTTAGTACCAGATTTATTAGGAAAATAGAGAAATGTTTTAATGCAATGATTTACTGTGCTAGGAGAATGGATTATTTACATTATGGTTAAAATAATCTGAATTTGTTTTCAGTGCCTACGGATGAAGAGGATGAAATGGAAACAGAGGAAGTCACAAACAGACCAAGGAAAAAGCAGAAAACAGAGCAAATGGGACTAACAAGAGTAAGATAAAGCACGGTTGGTGGGGACGAGAGAGAAGGGGTCTTCTTGGTGGTGGCCCCCTGCCTCTGGAACGCCCTTCCAAGGGAAATAAGACAGCTCCCCTCTTTTCGTAAGAGTTTGCAGCCTTGGTGGTTTCAATAAATCTTCGAGAGTGACCAGTGCTAGCTCAGCCCAGACACTGTCCGGACCCGAACCTACCCCCCTATCTATTGCCCTGGTCATTCTCCTAAGAGGGTATCACCCATAATGTGTATAGTTATGTTTGAATAGTTGCTAGAGCAGTGGTTCTCAGCCTGGGGTCCCCAGATGTTTTTGGCCTACAACTCCCAGAAATCCCAGCCAGTTTACCAGCTGTTAGGATTTCTGGGAGTTGAAGGCCAAAAACATCTGGGGACCCCAGGTTGAGAACCACTGTGCTAGAGCAGTGGCTCTCAATCTGTGGGTCTCCAGGTGTTTTGGCCTACAACTCCCAGAAATCCCAGCCAGGTTAACAGCTGTTAGGATTTCTGGGAGCTGAAGGCCAAAACATCTGGGGATCCACAGGATGAGAACCACTGTGCTTGAGCCTATTACTAGTGGTTACACCTACTATAGCATACTGTAGTATCCACTTCAGGGTCTCTGTGGCTGCTAGTTTCAGCAGCCATCTTTGGCCCTTTCTACACTGCCATATAATCCAGATTATCTGTTTTGAACTGTATTATATGTGTCTGCGCACTGCCATATGTTCCAGTTCAAAGCAGATAACCTGGATTTTATATGGCAGTGTAGAAGTGACCTTTGTTTCTCCAGAATTTATTACCATTACATTACCATTATAGTTTATTGTGGGTAAGAAAACACAGTGACTGCCTCAAAAATGGGTTTTTTTTACCCCCTAAACCTCATGAACCAGCACAGGAAAATACCCAAGATATCCTTTTTTTTTTGGGGCAAAGTAAATTTTCAGCTGCATTTTGGGGCTCAGAGCCTCTATCAGAAGCTCTGTTGACGCCAGAGCTAACTAATATGGATAAATGGGGAACACATCCGAAACTTGTAACACAGTTCCATGCACTCTGATCTGCAAGTGAATTGCAGTGAGTGTGTATGTGAGTACAACTGTCACGGATGTAAATCTGTGTCGGGGAAAAAATTAAGTATTTCCAATAACCTCATGTTTTTTTATTTTTCATGTCTAGACTCCTATTACAACCCTCTCTGGTCATACAGAATCGGTTTCTTCTGTACTTTGGTCAGATGCAGATGAAATATGCAGTGCTTCATGGGACCACACAATTAGGATATGGGATGTTGAAACAGGAGGCCTTAAATCCACTTTGGTGAGTGCCTTTGTCATTGGTTGACACTCAGATCTTTCAGTTAACAGTTCCAACAGAGAATTTGCATTAAAATGAACTTACCTTTCCCTTTCTTGTCTCACAGACTGGAAACAAAGTCTTTAACTCTATTTCCTACTCGCCACTGTGTCAGCGTCTAGCCTCTGGAAGCACTGACAGACACATTCGTTTATGGGATCCTCGGACCAAAGGTCGGTCATGATGAGATGCGGCAAGAGAATGTGACATGTTCCTTGATATCTGAAACATTAATGAATTACTGGAATTTAATGAAAATGTGTTTTGAAAGGGCTTCCTAATCCAGAAAGTCAAAAAGTGATTATATTCCCTACCTTTGCAGGTTTCAATTTCTACTGATTTCTATAGATTGTGCTTTTCCTGCATGCCAAGGGCTTGGACTAATGGCCCATGTGGTCTCTTCCAACTCTATTATTCTATGATTCTAAGGTCTCCTTTCTTTTACTGTTATGCTTCATTTGTTTGCCTTTTCCTTGAACTGTTTCATTCCTACTTCCAAAAGAAATCAGATGTTTCTCCCGGTGAATGGTGTAGCTGGGATGAAGTTTTCTGAGAGATCAGAAAAACAGAAGCAGATCTGCTATAGCAGAATTTAGGTTGCATCCCTCTTCTGAGTGAAATGGTGCCTTCTTCCCACCGTGTTAAAATAAATCCAAAGCCACACTTAGAGACAGGCATTCTGTATTATACAGTGGAACCTTGACTTAAGAACATCCCAACTTAGAAGCGTTTCGAGTTAAGCGCCATTACTCAGCCTGGTTTCACCTTGACATATGAGCAGCATTTTGAGTTAAGAGCTAGCACGAGTTCAGGGCTTCAAGAGACCAGCCTCCATGCCTCGTACTCTTGTCTGCTTTGGGAGATTGCTGTCTGCTTTGCTCTTGTTCACTTTAAGGTTCATTTTGTGTGGTTTTTATTCCTGGTATGTTGTCTTCATGAAGAGAGAAAGGGAGAAACAGCAAGAGAGGGTGGGAATGAGTACAGTATGAAGAAAATGATGCTTCTGTCTCTTCACTTTGTGCTTCCTTGCCACAACTTTGTGTTTATACCATTTTAAAGTCGATCTTTCTTTTTTATTTTTCCATGTGAATGTGCATTTATAATTTTTTTAAATTTAAAAACACGTAACACAAATGGGGGGGGGGGGCAGAACAGATTAATCACATTTGCTTTGAGATAAGAGCATTTTGAGTTAAGGACTCAAATTCTTAACTCAAGATATCACTGTACTATGCACTAACATGGGAGTTTCCTGCTTTGAACTTGATACGTTTACATTTGGGCACAGTTAGCCTCCATTGATTTCTGTATCGGATATGCGCTTGCCTTACCATTGTATGGCTTAAGTGACCCTTTCTCAGAGTTGGTTCTTACGCCTTCTTTGCCCTGTTGCAGATGGCTCCTTGGTCCTCCTTTCCCTGACCTCGCATACTGGTTGGGTGACATCCGTGAAGTGGTCGCCGACCCACGAGCAACAGCTCATCTCGGGTTCTTTAGACAACGTTGTCAAACTCTGGGACACGAGAAGGTAGACCTGCATCTCTTCCGTATTTACTTTACACATGCCTTCAAGTTATTCGATGGCATGCAAACAGAAATAATGCCTCTTCGGGTGTTCAGAATAGCTTGGAAAATTGTGCCAGCCTTCAGATTTATTTGCCTCATTTTAATAATGTTCCTATCAGAATTTTAGGCTCGATTCTGCAAGGCTTTTAGCAAACTTGGCCTCAGTTTCATTTGATACGGCATTTAGTTTCATCAGTGCTTTTAGATACAGAGTTTATGGTTAAAATGAAGAATGAGTGTTTATTTGCAGGTTCTTGAAACACATGCATGGAATTTTAGAGTGAGGCTACATGTCCTTATGGACCTAGAATGTAAATTTTGAAAAGAGAGAAGGGAATTTGGATTATTATAAAGCAGAGATGGACAAATTGTTGACCTCATCTTGTCTTTGGACCCCATGGACATGTTCCAATGTGCTGGGAGTATCAGTCCCTGTTTTTTTGGCTGTAACAAGGTGATTTGGAGGGAGTTGGACATGAAGCAGAAAAAGGATTCCTAAGTATTTTTCTTTATTTCGGCAAAGACTGCAAAGAGCTAAGACAGGGGTTTAGGAGTCTTTAAAAAGATGGGCGCCTTTGGCAATTCCCAAGGAATCTTGTAGACCGCACAAATATGGTCCGGGTGATACGCTTTTCCCAGTTTTAGTCTCCTAAGAATTTGATGGGTGAATTCATCGACTTGGTTACTTTTGTGTACTGTGAGTGACTGTTTCAAATATTTGTGTATCATCAGTTGCAAGGCTCCTCTCTATGACTTGGCAGCTCATGAAGACAAAGTCTTGTGCGTCGAATGGACAGAAGCAGGGGTAAGAACATCTGGAATGGATGGAAATAGCAGGCAAATGGGTGGATTGGGTAACCTGTACCCCACAGCCTCTTCCCTGATGTGCAGCATGAGGGGTAAAAAACAGCAGCAAAAATGCTCTGTTCCCCGCTATCTAAATTTGATCCCCTACAAATACACTTTTCAAAATAATAAGAAGCCCTCATTTAATAGTTAGGGAAAAAATCATGTCCCAGAAAGAGAAACCACACAAGAGTTATGCACTCGTACTACAGCAAAAAAAAAAAAAAAGCTGCAGGAAATGCTGCTGACTGGAGGGTCAACAGTTTGAAGCCATGAGTCGGGGTGAACTCACGTCTGTCAGTCCTAGCTTCTGTCAACTTAGCAGTTCAAAATCATTCGAGTAGATCAATAGGTACCGCCTTGGGGGGGAAGGTAAAAGGGCGCCCCATGCAGACATGCTGGCAAAAAAGATCGGAGATGTCTATGGACAGCAAGCTCCTTTGGCATGGAAAATGGAACAAGAGCACTTCCCCATGGCCAGAAATTGAGCATCGCCTTCTGATGCCGGAGATGGGAAAAGGGGAAGACATTTACCGTATCTGTATATTGTATGCCATTGTTTGTGCAAAATGGCATTGAATGTTTGTTTATATGTGTTCTGTAATCCGCTCTGAATCCTCCTGGGGAGATACAGCAGAATATAAATGATGTGTATTATTATTATTAAACGTGGGCAAAACCAATTTCCAGTAGATGCAGGGAAAGAATTTTCCCATATTGAGGAAATTGTGAAATGACGACTTTTCCTGATACTTATAAACTGCCCCAAAGATTTAAAGCTTTATGATAGATCTCATTTTCAAAATGCTACTCCTTTAAAAAAAAAGTGTTTTGAGATAGAATCGTGTTAAGAGATCATTTTGGTTTGGAGTTTTAAAAAGATTCTTCTTAAAAGTATCTCATTGTAATTATATTTTCTTCCTTCCACATTACAGTTGCTTTTGAGTGGTGGCGCTGACAACAAGCTATATTCCTACAGATACCAAGCAACCACCTCTGATGTTGGGGCATGAAAGCTAATCAGAAGATGAGCCAACAGAGAACTTTTCTCCTGCTAGACAATATTGCAGCTTTTTGTACCACAGCTGTAGAAAATGTGCTGTTTTACAGACTTAGAAATCATGTATTTAATCAAGAATTCACACAAGTGGAACTGTGCTCCCAAAGGTTTCTGCTGGAGGAATAGCTAGACCTGATTTTTGTTGATTTCTCCTTCACTTTAAATTGTTCCTCAGGAGGACTGATGGGCCCTCTGGAACAATGCGGTAGGGAGAGCTTGCAAGAAAAATCAGCGTAAATCCTTCCTTTTCTACATACTCCTGTTCCACCTCAGTCTCTTCTCTAAACAGAATGCAGTCTTGAAGGAAAGGACACTATAACACAAAATGTGTGCATATGCTTTTGTGCATATGCCTATGTGTGTGGGAGGTAGGGTGATTGTATTTGAAGCCCCTGTCCTATCATAACCATAAGAGGAAAATACAAGACAGTAGCTTGATGCATGTTTGTGCTCTGCAGTATTTAAATATTGTGTAAAAGTTTATTAAAACATTTTTATTTTGTCCAGATGTGTTTGTTAAACTTTTTTCCCATGTCAGGAGCGACTTGAGAAACTGCAAGTCGCTTCTGGTGTGAGAGAACTGGCTGTCTGCAAGGATGTTGCCCAGGGGATGCCTGAATGCTGTGATGTTTACCATCCTTGTGGGAGGCTTTTCTTCTCATGTCCCTGCACGGGGAGCTGGAGCTGACAGAGGGAGCTCATCCACTCTCCCGGGATTCGAACCTGTCAGTCTTCAGTCCTGTCGCCACAAGGGTTTAACCCATTGCGCCACCAGGGGCTCCATTTGTTAAGTTAATGCTATTTTGCTTAATGGTTTCGATTACTTATACTCGCAAGGGAAGAGTGGACGGGGCCAACTGCCAAAGTTTTTCAAATCTATCTAGAAGTTTCTGAAGCTGTCTGGTGAGGCGCAGAAACTACCATATGTGCGTATTCACGGTTGACCACGATGGGAAAATATATAGATACTGGTCCACTTTAGGTCCAGTGAGATAAGTGTTAAGTAGTGTTATTCAACCTGGTTATGAAGCAGTTCAACACTATATACAGGCAGTTATCCAGTTACAAACTGGGGGGGGGGGGGGGGGGGGAGAACAGGAACTGAGAGAAATCCACTCCTCAGAAGGGAAATTCACTACTGAAGGAGTTATCATGGGGAAAAGATGTCTCCACTGAAGCTTTATCTCTAGTCTTAGTTTCCAAAACAAGTTATCAGAGAGACAGAGAAGTGAAATGTTCTGAACAGGGGCACAGACAGCAAAACAAACATCACAGGGGTATTAACCCTTCCCTACACAATCCAAAGTGCTCTCTATATATACACCTTCTCCAAATTTAACTTAACAAACCTACAGAACCTGCCATGTTTGTAACTTGGGGACTGCCTGTACTTGTTACCAAGTCAGGATATTTTAATGGATTAGGATCTCCAAAGAAAAGTTCGGTGAGGTTCACAGAATTAGGGGAATTTAAGACATGTGTTTTGTAAATCAACACACACACGCACACACCAGTTTTGTATATCAAATCAATCCTGAACCTGAGGACATCTAAAAGGGTATTCTATAACAAGTCAAATGAAAAAGACAAATCTCACTAAACATACTAAAGCGTTTACATAATTGTCGAAAGCTGGAGCCCCCATTTTCACTGTTGCCTCCAGCTCTCACCAGTGCCGTTCAGCATATCCAGTAGTCAAAAACAGCAGGAAATCAAGACCAACAGACTTGTCCTTATTCATGTACAACTATAGAAACAAATCAATCTAGTACATTTGGATATTTACATTTAACAATTCACATATTTTCTATTTAGAAAAGAGAAAATAAATTCTAAAAATCTGTTTTTTAAATGCCAGTTTGTTTACAATCAAATGCAAAAATGCCTTGGGAGTAAACACTTCATTTTAAAGAGCAGCAACTATTTTAAGGATTGAATTTATTTCTGCTTGAGCTAAATTGCATGGTGTTATGGTTTGAGGAGATCAGAGTTCATATCCCTGCTTGGCAACAGAAATCCCTGGGTGACCTTAAGCAAATCCAATTCTCTTAAAAGAAGGGGAAGGCAAAACTGAGGTGACAGGATTGCCTTAGGGTTGCTCTAAGTTGGAAAAGACTTAAAGGCATGTAAGAATGATAAACATACATGTAGATTAGTCTGTACTTAAACCAAAACTAATAATCATTATTAATCATTTATGTCTTATCAAATGGCTAAGAAAAATTCATAATTACTTCTGAAAAATAGAAGCAAAATTCTCAAACAGAAAGCCATTTTGCATGAAAATTGGGTGCAATCATTTGTTTGCCAGATTCCTTCCACACACATAAAACAAAAACAGATTAGAGGGGATTTATAGAACCGTGGAATAGGCATGTTAATACAGTGCGCTACTTCTAGTGTTGGTTTAAGCCTTTGCTCCTCTTAATCTTTGCCAGAATTATAGAAATCTCTTACATATAGACAGTAAACACATTAGCAATATGGCATCCGTCTCGTTTCTGTTGTTTTGATGTCTGCCTTTTTTTCTTGTCTAGTTCTTGGGCAAATCACTTCTGTTCTCCAGTTATGGAGGGCTGGGAGGAATACAGGGGTTCTGTACATGTTCTGCTTGAGAAAGAAGGGAATACAAACAGCCCAGAATGTAAATACATCATACAGGCACAATGTCTCTGAAAACACTCAAGACACCGCTATCAACTGCACCCAGGCCTGTAGCCGGAGGGGGGGGGGGGGTAGGGGTTCACCCCCCCCCCGAAAATTTTCAGGTTAAAAAAAATGGTTTACTCATGAATTTTAACTGGTTAACCAAATCCCCATGCTAAGTCTATGAGACACAAAAAAATTAAGAGTCCCTCCAGAACTGCAAGCACTATCTCAAGCAAATATTGACAATTTATTCACACTGTCATTACTTGCAGCAATAGCCGATGTAGTGAAGCAACCAAGTTGGGTGTGTTGAATGCTCTCATTAAGGAGGCCAGACTTGGTGGAGGTGGTTGACAGGGGCGGAGCTGCAGGCTATTGAAGGCTGCTCTGCCCCCTGCTGTGCTCTTTGCTTCAGCGTGAGCTAGGAGGCAGGTTTCAACCCCCCCCCCCCCGAAATGTTTTTCTGGCTACGGCCCTGACTGCACCCATATGCCAGTCAATTCACTCCACTGCAACATATTCCCACAGCTATGAAGGGAAGGAACCATACACTAGGACATTTCAATTATGCTCCCAATTTAATGGAACAACATTCCTGCAAGATACGTTTTGTTCCTTTAACTGTTTCCACTGCAACATATTCCCACAGCTATGAAGGGAAGGAACCATACACTAGGACATTTCAATTATGCTCCCAATTTAATGGAACAACATTCCTGCAAGATACGTTTTGTTCCTTTAACTGTTTCCACTGCAACATATTCCCACAGCTATGAAGGGAAGGAACCATACACTAGGACATTTCAATTATGCTCCCAATTTAATGGAACAACATTCCTGCAAGATACGTTTTGTTCCTTTAACTGTTTCCATAACACTATACAACACAGTTTTTGTTCCTGGGTTATAAATGTCATTTCCTAATTGGTTCTATTATAAAAACATGGAAAAAGTGTATTAAATTGCAAAAACATTGTTTCTGCGGGACATCCTGCAGCAGTTTGCTATAGCTGAAGTCCAAAGGGCCACAAGTTGTGCAGGCCTGATTTAAAGTAATGGAGTGAAGTATTGCAGTGTGTAAGTGCATTTGACATACATTTCCAAATTAAACAAGGACATTGATAACCACATCTGGCCACATGTATCTGATCTCATTATTAGCTCAGTTACAGGGGGGGGGGGGGAATAAGGAACACCCGTTTTCACTTGAAATATTTATTGAAAGTGTGCGAATTCCATAAAGGTGAGTAAAACATTTTTGTAAAAAAATTTAATAACATTTCTTGCAGACTCAGGTCTTACATCAATCATTAAAATAAAAACAATAGAAAAACAAGAAATGCCCAAACACACAGGTGTGCCTTGAGAGGAAAAAAGACTTCTTAAAAAAATCTTATATATGTAGACATCATTGGCCTTTGCAAATATAGTACACAGTTTACCCAAGTAGATGTGGATTGCTCCACAATGTCTTTCTCCCTAGTACAGGCAATAAAACAGGAAAGCCAGTAGCTAGCAAGAAAAGGTAAACTTGGAAGGGAAATACATGACATGCCACTGGCAGTGGACTGCTGTGATTTAGTCACGCTACACAATATCCAGACAGAGTTAGGTGATAGGAGGAAAGCTACACCTTCAGAGTATTTTATCAATTGAACATATTTAAATGAGACACTGACGGCAAACAAGATGTTGAAATCAGAAATGAAAATATTCATATTTAGTAACTAAGCCATCACTGAAAATTAGTTACTTGTTTTGTTACCTAGTACTGGAAATACCTATTGGTTAAGCAAATGTCGTCTTCATGACTCAAGAGTGTTTTCCAATGCTCCAAAAGGGCTAAATTATGGACATTTGTATTTTGCTTTTAGTGTAAAATCCAAATGATGAAATATACCATGAAACTTGCCAAAAGACAGTGATTATAGTCACATCAATATCTAGCTAAAACAATACATACAACTGTTCTTTCAAATAGCCCAGTTTCTGGTCACTAACTTCATACATATAATGGAAGAGAATGTTACCTATTTCATTTCATTTCTCAGATGGAAAACGTGTGATAAGCAGCAATGTTTCAAATGGAGGTTTAAAATTAGCAGCAATAGCAAAGAGTATATGTGTATTCATGCAGCTATTTTAGAAAATAAGAACATCTCATGTGGCACCGTGCATGAGATAACTGCTCTAGAATTGGTTCGCTGATGCATTTAAGCACCTGCTGTTTGCAGTAAAACCCATCTGAAATATACATTTCCTATAACTGTGATGTTCCTCTAGAAAGGTCAAGCACACAGGGACTCTTGGGGAGAAATCCAATGTTAAGCAAGCACAGGTGATAGTACACCAAACACTGCTTCCTTCCTGTTCTCTGAACAACTCCAGAGCTGTGAACACAATAGGGAAGTTTCCCACAGACGCACCAGTTTAAGAATTAAGAAATGGAGGGTGGATCATTTCCACTCCTCCCAATCCAAGCCAACTCCTGGTAAATCAGAGGAAGAAGGACAGAATATTCGATACCCATTTCTTGGGTATGGTCAGCGTAACAGAAATACTTGGAAAGTGGCATACATTTTTACGATACAGCCTAACCCACCCCTCATATTCACAGGACTGGTCTCTGTGGTTTCATTTATCCACATCTGACAAATACGCCATCTCCAGGGATTTTCTAGGTTCTCCAACACTATTCTTGGGCTAGATATCCTTCACTTCAATAGGGTTTGCTATTCCCTGCAGTTTCACATATCCATGTGAAGTCAAGGAAAGTATTCCCTGCATATCTTTTTTTTTTTTTGGTTACTACTGTATTACATGCTTACCAATGAATGACTTGGCAAAATGTCACAGCCAAACAGAGCGCTAAATCATGAGTGATGAAAGTTACAATTTTAGTCTCATTATTTTCAACTAGCTAAAGATGGGCCTACTCTAATTATACTTCCCCTGAAGTCCCTAGCTTAATCACTCTTGACTTCACAGAGAGTTACTGGCAACCAAGAACCAAGCAGGTAAGTGATGAACCAAAACTTGAGTGAACACGTAATTGGAATTCCAAAGAACTGCTTGCTCCAATTATTATTTGTTATTGGCTAACATTTTTTCAGTGCAAAACAGGTGAGCAGTCTTATGGCATTCAATTTACTAGCCAAACAATTGCTGCTTATGACATGGATTCTTCAGCATCTTATTTCTTCACAGCCACAGAGATATAACCAAATATTGCTCTTTTAATAAAGGCTGGAGTGTCACCTATCTGATATGCACCTGCAGGCCAGCCTGAAGTACATTGAAGTCATGGCTAGTATAAAGCCATGGAAAAGTCATGTCAACTTTTAAAACAAGCACCTTTTACCACATCTTAAATACACCTTACAGAGACTATATTCAGGATTAGCATGTCGGCCATGCAGCAAAATACAATAACATTCCAAATGCGCAATACCTTTATCTGGCCAATTGAAAAGCACAAAATACATAATGCAAGTTTCCAACGCTCCACTGGCTTCTTCATCAGGCAAATGATCTTTAAAAAATCATACAGAAGATATTAAGATGTATGATTTTTAAACAACTTTTGCCTTATGAAGAAGCCAGGGAGCTTTTAAAGCTTGCCTGATGCATTTTACACTTTTTAGTTGGCCTCCCAAAAGGGTTTGACAAAAAAAAGTTTTGTGGATTTTGGGTTTTGTTGTATCTTACATCTTACAGAGATTCATGAGAACAGTGAATAAAACATTTTGAGGAACTTCAAAGACCTATCTTTTCCACAGAATTCTTAATTGAAATCTGGCTTTTAGATATTCAATGCAAATATTTTTCACAAGAACCACCATTAGTCTGGTAACTATAAACAATTCAAAAAACCTGAAATGCTGAACTGCATTTAAACAAACTGCAAATCCCTCTTGCACAAAAGAAGGCTGCTTCCACATGTTTCACAAAGACCAAACATTAGGAGTTTCATAAGAAAGCTGATGTGTGTCCAACAGATATTACAGACAACAAATATATTACATTGCTAGAAAATTTGACTTTGTTTTGACATCTCAGTTTGAAGGAGTTATACCTGATGCATGGGAAAACAATATACAAAGAAAAACAAAGTAAAGCAATAACAATTCTGGTCATTATAATCGGTTGTCCTAGGACTTGATATGCCAGCAAGTTAAGTCCATGGAATGGATGTGAAATCATCTTAATCTGCAAATAAAACATTTGAAAGCACAGTAATACAACAGAAACAAAGTAAAACTAATACAATGTGGGATTGGGGTATAATTAGGTAATACTTTAGAATTCCAGATGCATAGCTTTGTTGGGTCTGTTGCAGCAAACACAACAAAGTCCAACAGCACCTTAAAGACTAAGAAATATATTATAGCATCAGTTTTTGTGAGTCAGAGCCCCCTTTGTCACATGGACAAAGCAGTTACCTAACTAGGTAGGTACAGATACCCTGAGTATAAAGAGGTTGTAAAAACCAAGTGAAACCAAGGCCAAACAATGTAGGATATCAGTACTGTCACAGTACTAAGCAACTCTCACTAAGGAAAAACAAATAGAAGATCATGAGACATACTCTGAATCAGAGCGAGGAAAAGGGAGGTTTTGGGTGACTATCCAGAACCAGCCAGCCAGCTAGCATGGTTACATGGCCCTTGAGGCTGTGGGATCCAGGGATCTGTCATCCAAAAAGGCAGTTTTGGAAGTTGTAAGAGAAAGTGGCAATTTCTCCAGCTAAGCCTTATTCCCACCTGTTGATTGCTGGTGATGACTTGGTGCACCAAGATGAATAACTAAACAGTGTTGTTGTGGTTATTCATCACATCTGCTAGTCTGGAGTAGTTTGCCCAAATGTTGGTCATGTATTTTTGTTAGTCTAAAGATACCAGAAAAACGTAACTCTTAAATTGTAACTTTTTATAGCTCCATAGTTGGCCCTAGTTCATTTTGATCAATGCTGTACCATCAAGCGTCTTTAAACAATGCTTAATCCATCCCCTATGAAAATTTGGAACTCTGGAAGCATTTTGGAATCTAAAAATTTGGCCTTTAAGCAACTGCTCTAGCTCACATTTTTTGTTGTGTAATGGACCTCCGTAAACACACTTTCATAACCAAATCAGTTCAGTACCTTTCAAAAGAAGAGTTTGTAATGGAAACCCCTTCCTACTGTTGACTGTTACAGTTAGTTTCTTTTTTTAAAGTGACACAAGAAATGAAATGGGTCACATCTGCTGACCAATGACCAAGAATACCAAGGTCCCTTTAGCTTAACACCCTAATGATATTGCTCCTCAAAAAGAAGACTATGTCCACTGAAATAAACTGCTTTAACAATTACCATGCCTGACAAACTACGACCCTCAACAGACCCACAAAACAGTACTTTGACAAGCAGGAAGAACCATGCATGGCCATTTCAAGATCATATGACTACAAGGTTTATATAGTACAGTGGCAAGACAGGATAGGATCAGGTATACGCCAAAGGCAATTCAAGAGTTTGACAGCAACACAAGAAACCAAGATGTCCCAAGAGGCACTGATGTGATAGTTTGTTGGCATTTTTGCAGAAAGTGGAAAGGAATATCATTCTGAAACAAGAGTCACAAGACTAGCAACAAGTTGTTACAGTATTGGCAGAAGTGCTCTGAAATGCTATTTCCGGACAAGGAATTCTGTCCGTGTGCTTATCCATCCTGCCTTCACCAAAGATGTACCAATATTGCTTTTCTTTATAGTCTTGAGGATATTATCTGGAGAAGGGAAGAAATCAAAGTGGTCACACTGCACGATGCTGAACAGTAGATTCAGGGCTCTCTTCCCAACAGTAGAAACAATGCAGCAAGAAAAGTGCGACCACCCTGTCCCCTGGGGTATATTAACCCACCCCCCTCATGAGTTGTAAATACTTTTTGGTGAAAAAAAAGACATCTTGCAGTATGAATTTGCTTCTTGTTCTCCTTGCAGATCTTGTTATGAACAGCTGGTGCGTTTTGAATTTTTCCTTTTCCAAAACTTGAAAATGGGACACAAAGCCTCAGAAAAACTGGTTCCTCTGCTGGTAAAGTAAGATGGATAACGTCTCCCTTCTTTATTGTACCAAAGCTTTAAAAAAAAGTGCAGGTGAGGGACTGAATTGGAGCTGCTTCAAGACAAGTGTAGCAGTTGCTCAGCCACTCTTCTTTCCTAGGTCTCACCCGAGTCTCACAGTTATCGATGGGGAGATCAGGCTATCAGTAGGAACTGTTTATGAAACTGCCAACAAGAATGATGCAAAGAGATGCAATTCGGAAGGCTTGATCACAGCTAGCTTCAATACAGTTCTCTCGGAAGTAAACAAAGCCAAGTTTACCCTTCAGTTTCTTCAGCATGGCCTGACTGCTGGAGCACAGTTATTGGTGGCATTATTTTGCTTGCTCCACGAGACAGTCGGTCTTGGTCTGTGCTTGCCGATAAGGCGGCCATGGAAATAGGCTGCAGCAATGCGGGCGTCATCCCAGTGGGGACGGTCAGGTTGTGAGTAGCACCCTTGAGAGTAAGATCTTGTGTGGGGAGAAGTGGCTTGAGGATACTGACAAGGCAGAAAGCGGAGCCACTTTTTGGAATGAAATTGACTTTATTCTTATCAGGACAATAAAAGGCTGGGATTTCATGCAACGGCTTTGGCCTATAGAGGGGGAAAAAACAGCATCACAGCAAAAGACAAATGTTTACATGGAAATCTCAATGTTATACCACAAGTTACATAACATTTGACAATGTAACTGAAGATATTAAACCATACAGAAATTAAATGTGGAAATGCTATACAAACACATTCAGAAGGGCTCTTAAACCTAATATTTCATTTCAAATCCCTCTTTCACTGGTATATAGCAAGGGTAGAAAACTGTGCCTAATTCCAGCCATATCAATTTAATTCAATTTATATTTAAATCTTAGAGTACTTCTGATTTCTCTACTGAATAACTGTATTATGTTCCTGGATATTTTAGAATAGCTTCTCTTTAAGAAATAGCTGCCATATAAAATCCAGATTGTTGGCTTTGAACTCAATTATATGGGAGTGTAGACTAATCTGGATTATATGGCAATAAAGGTAAAGGTTTTCCCTGACATTAAGTCTAGTCATGTCCGACTGTAGGGGTTGGTGCTCATCTCCATTTCTAAACTGAAGAGCTGACGTTGTCCGTAGACCTCTAAGGTCATGTGGCTGGCGTACCTGCATGGAGTGCCATTACCTTCTTGCCGGAGTGGTACCTATTGATCTTCTCACAATTGCATGTTTTCAAACTGATAGGTTGGCAGAAGCTGGGGCTAACAGCGAGAACTCACCCCACTCCCCGGATCTGAACTGGCGACTTGCAGTCAGCAAGTTCAGCAACTCAGTAGTTTAACCCACTGTGCCACCGGGGGCTCCTGGATATATGGCAGCATAGGGGGCTCCTGGATATATGCCTTCAGTGGTCCCTGACAAGTTTCACAGAAAGAAAGAAATAATTGTTCCCAGTGGACACTACTTTTGTGTGCACCTATGTCACGCTGGGAAAAAATAATTTGCAGTGCCACATACCAGATACGAGTTGTGAAAATAAACAGTTGGGAAATCATTATTCCATCCCTCTATGACTTTTTGTCCACACAGGCATATGTAGAAACAAGGGCAAAGCTACTTGGTTTATATAGGCTAAACCCTATGTCAGTTGTAACAAAAATACAATGAATGAATGAAATTTGCATCAGTATAGGGAAGGGCACGTAGATAGCACTATGTAGCAAAATTTGAAAAATGTTCTGTTCCTGGATTGAAAGTGTTATTTCCTGTTTAATTGTGTAGTACTTTTTTTGATAGAAGTTGTTATATTCCAGAAATGTTGTTAAATTGGTTAAGACTCTATGACAGTGGTTCTCAACCTATGGGTCCCCAGGTGTTTTGGCCTACAATTCCCAGAAATCCTAGCCAGTTTACCAACTGTTATGATTTCTGGGAGTTGAAGGCCAAAAACATCTGAGGACTCATAGGTTGAGATCCACTGCTCTAGGATATATTTATTGGAAAAACTACAGCAAAATGTGCTGCAGGATGTCCTGCAAAAACAATGTTTTTGCACTTTAATAAACGTTTTCTATGTTTTTATGACAGAACCAATTAGGAAATGACATTTACAATCCAGGAACAAAAATTGTGTAACATACTGTTATTTATTTATTTATTTCAAACATTTATACCCTGTCCTTCTCAACCCCCGGAGGAGGACTCAGGGCGGCTTACAAGCCAGCAACGATTCATGGGGCTGTTTGCTTTATTTCTTTTACCCTTTTATCCTCTGGCCCAGATTACTAGCTTCTCTCAAAACATTGTTATTACCAGAATCTGATGAAACAGGGAAACCTAAATTGGTATTAATGTATGAGAGCAGTTGCTAACCTTTTCTGGTCGATGGATACATTTCAATTTTTTAAAAGTAATGCGGGTGCAACCACAAAATGGCTGCTTTGAGGTATAAGGATCCTCGCACAAAAAGGAAAAAGGTGGAACTGTCTCACCACACATGGAGAAAGCACACAAAAAACAGCTATATACTTTCCCCTTCTATTCAATCCTCCATTGAATCACTGGGAGGAAAATCCAGCACTCCACAATTGGATTTCAAACAGCATTAAATAATTATTGTGTTTATAAGATTAACAAATGACAGACCTGAGTCTATGATCTGTGCCGTAACGGAAATTCATACAAAAGGTGTACTAGCTTTTTAACTTTAGAGCACTATACTGTACAAGGCTACTTACAAGCTGTCTTCAAACACTTTAACCTTCTCACAGCCTTCAGGAGGTTCACGTTTGAACATGTAGCTGTTGTTGGGTTTTGGTGAGGTGGCATATTTGGGCAGGGGAGAACAGTTCCCATTCTCTGTAGTTAACATATCAAAACAAAAAAATCAATACCTCTTCAATCCCGACCCACACCGTTCTTCACTTACATTATATGCAAAAAGATATGCAATTTTGTCCAGCATGTAACATACATATATGTTACTTCCATACCAATGTTACAGCTGAAATACGACATCTTGGCATATTTGCCTCTAAAACCCTAAATCAAGCTATAATTTAGCACAATATAGAATAGCTCTCAGCAGGATATGTTAAAATGCAATTAATTACAGCTATCATTCTAAGGATGTATTTGAACCAGGGTGGCAAGGTACGTCCCTTGACTTGCACACAGCTGTTCAAGAGTAGAACTCTCTGCTTTGGAGGGTGGTAGAGATTCCTTTTTTGGGGGCTTTCAAACAGAGGCTAGATGACCATTGGTCAGGGATGCTTAAACTGTGCTTTTCCTGGATGGCAGAATGAGGTTGGACTAGATGGCCCATGTGGTCTCTTCCAACTCTATGATTCTAACACATAATATGAACAAGTTGTGTGGTTTTGTTTTGTGTTTTGTTTCGGGTTTTTTCTTTTTTTGAAATGACAGAATCTAAAAATGGATTATGGGAACAAAGGTGAAATTCCATAGATAAAACATTCCACATGGATATAAAGAGTCTTTAGGATTTGGGCCCAGACATAAAAAATCCAAGGAATGAAACAAGTTTTCATGATGCAAGGTAACAGTCTGTACTGTGACCGAGGCACTATGAAGCATTTTATTCAGTGAGTACCTTTATCTCTGGGGTCCCCAAGCAGGTCATCAGCAGGGCATGGGCTCTCCTCATTGCTCTCATTGGTAATGGCAAGGAAAGAGCCAGGAGACACAGACTGAGACCGGCTGCTATTGTTACTGCCCTTTTCTGCTCCACCGGGTGTCTGCGTATCAATGCTGCGGGTACTGCTGCTACGCTGCACCAGAGGAGGAGGAGCTCGATGCCCATCTGGAACATCTTGTGGCTGTTAAATAAAAACACATCATATACGTTGTGTCATGAAACTGATTATTAATCTAGTCTAGCTAAGAATCACATTGCATGTTAATAAACTATTTAGACCTTCATATAAATAAAGCTTCTTAGCAGATTAGTACTTTTTCAGACTTCAAGAAAAAGATGGGAAGCCAAACTTAAGGAGATTTGGGGTCTTGTAAGGCATTCTAGAGAAGGGAGCAGAGTAGGAGGAAGGGAGGAAAAATACACACACACAGTTAAAAAGATTAAAAGGATGATCCTGTATGCAAACCAACCAGACTACCTTGTGAATGACCCCTTTCTTAATGTCTGTTTTCCTTTTCCTTGGTAAAGCATTAGCTTTCACATGCATGCATTAATTTAGTCTTGGAAGAATTTCATGCGCAACCAGCTGGATATGTTCTGAGATAACACTTCAAAGTAACACTAGTGGCCAAATAAATAATGTCTTCTTATGGCAAAACATAACATTCAGCTGCTCACTTCACCTCCTCCTGCTGCCCCCTCCCCCAGCTCAGTCTTGGTTGAATAATAACAATTATTATTATTATTATTATTATTATTATTATTATTATCCTTATTTATACCCTGCCTTTCTCCCCATGAAGATTGAAAGCGGCTAAAACTCCACACTAGACAAGTTTAACAGGTACAATACAAAAGTTAAAAAACAATTAAAAAGTAACAGTGGTAAAAACAGAATTAAAATACAATAAATACCCTCAAATTAAATCAAAAATCTTTATTATGGTCATAGACCAGCATAAGGAGAGTGAGGTACAGTTTCATAAAATCATTGCACATTAAAATCTAAATACACTAAAATGGCCTTTAAAACTCATATTCCCCGCAATCCCATCCAACCTCCCCAAAACCTGCCCCTTACCCTTCCCCAAACACCTGTTGGCAGAAGGTCTTGACCTCCTTGCGGAAGACCAGGAGATGGACCCACCCTGGTCTCTCTTGGGAGAGTTCCAGTCTGGCAGCAGCCTCTGAAAAGGCACTCATCTGTATTTCCGCTAAGCGAGTGGTGGGACCGAGGGAAATCCCTCCCCAGTAGCCCCATCTAACACAGACTGACTCCCTATTTCCAGATCTGTCTTATGACTGGCTAGGAGCACCTATGTCTTGTCTGGATCATTGTCCTCATTCAGTCCATTATAGCTGTCAAACCCGTTTAGAACAGGAACCACTTCTTTGAAATTAGGTGGAAAGGAGTGATAAAGTGGGGTGCCATGTGAATATAACTGGTACTGCATTCCAAAACTCTGGATGATCTTTCCCAGCGATTTCATGTCTATGCGGAACAGCATGGGGGACAGTACAGAGCCCTGAGGGACTTCACAGGCCAGTGGCCAAGGAGTCAAGCAGCCAAGTTCCCCAGCGCCACCATGAGAATGTCCCTCCAGGTAGAAAGGACAGTACTCTCCAAGCCCCATCCCAGAAAGGTGACTCAGAACGATACCATGGTCAATGGTATATAAAGCCACTGAAAGGTCCAGGAGGACCAACTGGGACACACTCCCTCTGTCCAGTTCTCTGCATAGTTCATCCACCAAGCCTGTCCCGTAACCAAGCCTGAAACCAGACTGAAATTGATAGAGATAATCTGCTTCATCCAGAAATCCCTGGAGTTGCAAAGCCACCACACACTCCAGAACCTTGCCTAAAAATGGGAGGAGACTGGTCTATAGCTGTCCCATACAGAGGGGTCTAGGGAAGATTTTTTTAAGAGGTGGTCTTACCACAGCCTCATTGAGGCCTGTCCTGCCCTAATGTAGGGGACATTAATCACTTCCCTGACCCACTCCACCACTCTGGGCTGTTTTATGAGCCAGGAAAGCCAAGGCTCTAGTTCACATGTGGTAGCTCTCACCTCTCCAAGAATCCTGTCCACATCCTCAGGTTGAACAAATTGAAAGATAGCCATCAAAACTAGACAAGCAAGTGCCAAGATTACATCCACCGGAGCTGTATTAACTGTGGCATCTAAGTTAGAATGAATCACAGTTCCTAATTATATCCAAAATGGGAAGCTGTGATTTGACATCCTTTTTTAAAAATACTGATCTTAAACCAGTGTGGTCCTGATTTAAGATTATATGTAGAGAATATTAAATCAAAGCTCATTATTTCAAACACAAGAAAGAACTGTAGTTTCAAGAAAACTAGGACTAACAAATTATACCCTGCAAAAAAAGCAGGCGGAGGAACAAGGTAGAAGAACCCTTGCCTCTTGCTCATTTCTGGTTTCTCAAACTATGGTTTAAAGAACAAAGGTTATGTACCTACCAGTCCTCATAATTAAATGTCTAAACCTTCCCAGTAATGCGTTTGGTATAAAACTACACCTGCACATAACAACTTCAGTCCTCTGCACAGGACTGTGCTGTTGGTTTCCAAGAAATTCACTTGTCTTTCAGGCTCTACAAATTTGTATGGATGGCCCAGTCCATTACAGCTAATGGTAGCAAGGAATACTTGATTACAGTGATTTACTTACAATAAGTTGTTCCTCTTTCTCTCCTGTTTCCTTTATGATTATTTCAATCTCTTGATTCAGCCCCTCTATGCTGTTACGGAAACGCGATCCTGTTGATTTGGCAATTGGTATGACAGGGACTAGCACAGTCTTTGGGACGGGAGCCTGTAATGTCACCCAAAAGAAATAAGAAAGGTAGTGATTAAATGTTGGAAATGACAACCTTCTTCAAGCCTTTTCTGGTAATGTTTATCTATGATCCTGCTGTTTAGTGTTTCCTATTATTTATGTTCTGGTATGGAGTTTCCTTTACTGTATGGTTCCTGAGAAATTATAAAAGGGGCTGCAGACCACATGCCATCTTTTTCTCCTCCTTTAACTATGTGACCTGTTTTGTTATAGGAGAGATGCCCTGGCTGGATGACACAGAGAATTATCTCCAACATATCTGAAACTGGACTGATAAGTTTTTTACCCGAGTATGCTTGAATACATGAATGTCATGAGTAAACCAAATATGTTATTTTTAATCAAAATCAACTTCATTTTTGTCTCTTGAGTGCATGATATAAAACAAGTTGTTTTATGGGACAGTATATTTTTGGGCACTGGAAAAAACACTTCTAAAACTCTGCTATTTTTCTGCACTGGCAAAATCTCTGTTTTCATAACAGATCAGAGATAACAGGTTATTAAGTTCAACAACTGAAACCATTGCCTTGCATAATTACATCTGGTTGTATACAAGAGAAGATTCTACTCCAAAGGGGTTTTGGCTCTTTTCTGAAAGGGCATGCTTTTCTAAAAAGTTAGGATCTCCAAATGGTGTTTTCCAAAAGCTTATAAATATCATTTTCCAAAAGTATATTCCTATGGGCTTTATAGGAAAACATGTAATGTCTACTGAAGGTTCAAACTCAAAGTTTTGCAGGAATAATCCATGATAACTTGAGAAAGATCCCAGTAACCCCTCAAAACTTAAATCTTTTTTCTTCCTTTTCTTCTTGATATAGATTTCAAATGTTGAACTCCAAGTTGTGCAAAGCATTTGTTTAGTTAACTCAAATTTCATGTATGCTGTTGATCCTGTAATGGTGTCAGCTGACATATATTTGGGACAATTCCTTTTTGCCACACAGTGCCTGAAATAAACTAATTGTTCCTGAACCATGACTTCTTACATTTTTTTAATGAAATGTCATGATCTTACCTGGCATTGGTTAATGGCTGCATGATTACCATGGAATGGAGACTGCCTTTCTTTGTCTCGGTGATGCCTGCTACTGTGTTTACTTCTTTGCAATTGCTGGCGAAGTTTGGCAATCTGAAAGAATAAACCATTTAGATTTTTCTTTAAAAGTAATAATGAAACTTGTGAACAATAATTTTACAAGTATGATATATGCTATGAGAATGCATGTACCATATATACTTGAGTATAAGCCGACCCAAATACAAGCCAAATTTTACCACAAAAAACTGGGAAAATGTATTGACTCGAGTATATGAGGGTGGGAAATATAGCAGCTACTGGTAAATTTCAAAATAAAAACAGATACCAATAAAATTACATGAATTGAGGCATCAGAAGGTTAAATATTTTTGAATATTTACATAAAACTGTATTTAAGGTAAGACTATCCAGCTCTGATTAAACCATTATTCTAACCTTCTTCAGTGTAAGTAATGGTGGCAATTATGTAATAATAAAAATAATAATAATAAAAAGAGAGTAAAATAATAAATATAATAATAGAGTAAAATAATGGAAATGTAATAACAGTAACAGAATAAACTAATAAATGCAACAATAATACATTGACTAAAATAATAAATGTAATAACAATAATAAATAAATTAAAATAATAAATGTAATATAATAATAGAGTAAAATAATGTACTAGATATAATAATAATAATAATAATAATAGAGTAAAATAATAAATGTAATAATAATAACAGAGTAAAATAATAAATGTAATAATAATAACAGAGTAAAATAATAAATAACCTTGACTCAAGTATAAGCCAAGGGGGGGGGGGGGGGGTTCAGCCTAAAGGAAAAACTCAGCTTATACTTGAATATATACAGTACTATTAAAACCTTTGTATTATGATAATATGAAGGTTGTTGAAGGTAACAATGATATGCATTAATAGAGGGGTTGGGAAAAGGGGAAAATCACCCGGGGAAGATGAAGAGCTGTACTCCTCTAACATAAAGAGCCTTCATTTTATTTTATTCTTTCCAAATCCCTCCATGACTCCAGAAAGTAAGCAAGTATGTATGTGTGTGTATATTTCTTGATTGGGAACTGACTCAGAAATTACCCTGTCAGAAAATGAACCAGGGAAGCTCTAGAATTGCTTCCAATGTACAAAAGGGTGATTTCTGAATGCATTTGTGGTTTTTTTAAATGAAAAACTGGGGGAACCTGTTGGCCAATTGAACAACACAGATTTTTTTTAACTTAGTACAATAATTCCCAGGTCTTGAGATGGGTGTCTGGTGTGTGTGTATGTATGTCCTATACATGACCTGGACACAGCCTGTTATGAAGATAGGCTGACTATCTGATAATAATCTGCTATCTGGATTGGCTCCAGACTTTATTTTGCTGGAAGGAGCATCCCCAGAAAAGAATTCCACTTCAGGGGTGCTCTTGCCAGTCAACACTTTCCTGTTTCTTGTGGATATTTTTAAAATCTATTCCAAAGGACTGGGATTCTTCATGAGCAATCTATGTGGTGACAAAGTAGAGACTGCTGAACGAACTGGCAATGGATGCCTTTGCATCCACAAACAAGGATAACCTTTATGAATCAGAAGGTTTTTTGCACACAGAAAGGCAACCAAGTTCTCATCTTGGAAATGACATTGTGGGACATTTTGTTTCAATTGAGTGCAGACATGCTAAAATATTTTACTAGACAAGTATATTATTAAATACAGCTGAACACATTGCTCAACCTCTTTAAGCTGATCTGTGCTGCCCCAAGACGCTGATCGCTTATGAGAGCCTTTCTTCTTTTCCAAGTATTCTTCAGCCCAAGCACTCTCTGTCTAAAAAAGAAATAAAAGGATTTCTTGAAATATAAGTTCAAAAGCAGATTGAACAAAAACTTCACAATTAAAAAACAAACAGATCCTAACACGCATTTATCTCAAACATTCCTGAAAAATAAAATGACTTCAAGTAAAATCTGATTTTGATACAGAAAGGTATACATGAATGTATTTGTATAGTTTGCAGGCAGCTTTAATGTTTCTTTGGGTGTATATGCAACAAAAAACCTAAGTCGGATAAATATACTGGGGCAAGGGAGCAAGGAAAGAAGAGGATGTCCAAAACTCTGTTATTGAAAAAAAGAAGGACTAATGTCACACCACACCTGCATATATCCTTTTATGGCCAGCCGTCTGCCCTCAATGAACTCCTGCCTGCACATTCAATCAAATGGTACCTGACAGTGTTTCTGCAGCCAGAATCATGAAGAAGATAGGTCTTAAGAGCCTTAGTGAAGGTCAGAAAGATTTCTTAACCTATAGGAGTCTGGTTGAAGAGAGGTAGGCCGTGTGACAGGAGAGGGAGGAGAACTATGTCTGGCTTCACAAAGCTTTCTACTCTGACAGAATGATGTAGGATCTCAGTCAATATATAAAAACAAAGTTTAACAACATACTTTCACACAGCTGAGTCTATTACCAATCACCTTAAGTTTAAGTTAGTTTTGGACACAAAACAACAAACCAGAACAGAATTACTTAACAAATATAGGCAGAGAATATAAATGACACAGCAATTATATAAAGTTGTGTTTACATGCCATAGCCAGTAGTATCAAACAATGGGCATGAGCATTTACTTTCCACTTTGTAGAAAAACACAGTTTTACTCAGTAATGACTAGTTCTTGATTTGAGATAGCTCTGAACATTGAATCTTCAAGCAAATGCTGCTGCTTAGTGTCCTTGCATTATAGAGACTTCCAAACTTTCTTTAGTTTCACATTTGCTAAGCAGACACAGGGGCGGGCATTGTACTGTAGCACTAGAATAACTCATTCCAGAAACATTCTACCAGTTCCCACAAAATACTCTTCTTAGTACCCTGGAACAATCGTGTTATGTACAGAAAGAGTACTTCCTTTTGCCAACTATCCACAGAAATGTAAACATGTGACATGCATTTCAGAACAGTCATCAGGACCTGGAAACTTCAGAAGACCTTCTGTTCAGACAAACACAGCACACTTTCTTATAAGCATTTCCAGCTTAGGCTGGAAGGGAAAGAGTGCACTGGTGGACCCCTAATAGACTGGCATACCAATTTTGAAATTTCTTTGACATTAAATGTTATGAAGAGACAATCCAAAATGAAGCAAAAAGAGTGTGACAGATCTTGAGGTTCTCAGGTCAGAAGATAAGTCGATCAATTACCACGGAAAAGTGGAGGACAAAGGTAGAGCTCTGTATATAATGACAGAACTAGACTCAAACTGAAAAAACATTTGCCTGCTGATATGCCTTTCAACTTTTATGTACACAAATAAAACTATATATAAAAACACATAAAAGAAATGTTAATGCTCCACAAGACATACATTAGGAACATATAATCATTACAATACAGGACTAGGATGAATGAGCTAAAGTGGACAGAATTTAAATTTTTCCATATCATTAAACACCAAGGACAGTTTCTTGTGATTCACAGAAAGTCACCTCCTATAAAGGTGCTTAGAGGTTTCCTAACTAGGGTAGCTAAAAACATAATAAACTCGGAAAATACAAGAACTGTCAAGGACAAATGGCAGACAAAAGACTGATGATTAAAGAAGCTGATTTGATAGGCAAACCACAATATATGAAGGCATGATTCAGCTTGGAAGTCTTGATGGTGGACAACTTTGGGGGTAGAGGCAGGTTGGTTCCTGGGTTAGAACACAGAGCAGAAACAACTGATCTTTACATCAGAGGTTATAATCCCCTAACCTCTGATGTAAAATCAAAATCTCCAGGATTATGAGAACCACCTAATAACTAAGAATTAATAACTTGGGGCAAGGAATTTTGCCTTTGGTTCTTTCATAAACATTTTTTTTTATTTCTTAGAGCAACTTTCAAAAAACATTTTTCTTTTTCCACCTCATTTTTAGGACTCCATTGGTGAGCCAATAATATAATTTACAGACTGTTTAAAATGATAGAACTCCCAGGCAAAACCTGGGAGAAAGCTGACAAAAATGAAGGACTCGAAAATAAGAAAGGGATCCCTCTAGTGTTCACCTGCCATGTTTACAGCTAGAAAATATGGCGCCTGATTGAAGTGTGAAGAGTTAGCATACCATGGTTATTTAGAAATGCATTGGGAAGTATTTTTAAAAATACACTCAAAACATATTTTAAATCAAATCCATATAACTGGGAGTTTGAATGAGGGCTCTAAATATAGTCCTACTTCACTGTTGCAAGGATTAGGAATGCAGCTCCCATGTGAAGGTGGAAAAAACATTGTGGGGAAAGATGTGGCGCCATTACTATGGGTCTGGGGTGGAGCCAACTCCATGCACCACTTCACTTACTCTACAGAAACCAGCATCTTTTTTCTTTCTATGTGGCATGAGTCTCCCTTTCACTTGGACAAAGGAAGATACCAAGGAGACAAGAAGCACTCAATAAACCAGAAAAGGAGCTAGAACAAGCTTCTGCAGATCTGAGTCATACAAACCAGACTGTGGGACTAAGCACATGTGAAAAAGATGGTAGTCCCAACAGATTACAACAACTCTACCTCCAACTCCTCTCAGATCTTGCCTTCTGCTGTACAGAGAACTCAGGCAGATAATAGCTAGTAAAGGGAGATATGAAGGAGCCAAAAAGTCTGAAGACTGTCTTGACATACCTCCTCCCATTCCCATCCACTAGGATGCAATTACAAGACATTTATCTCAAACCTAAACCACAACGGTGCTTTTAATAGGGCTTTCACAGATTACCAACACACACTCTGGTAATTTTCCCATTTTATCTTCACAAAAAGGCAACCTGGCATTTCCCAGAGAGCTAAAGCTGATGACTTAACAGATGCGTCTCATAATCAAGAATGGGGCTATGTGCCATTACCATCTGTACTAGCTTACAACTGGCCACTCTTCAATCTCACGCTTCTTTTGACTTTCAGATCCAAGTTCAAATGGTGGAGATGGAGTGAGTACCAAGGGACAATGGAAGATGCTCCACATAATCCAACCCTGCACTTAACCATAAAATGCCTGAATTTCATTTCAGAGCTAGAGCGAATTGAAATATGCCTGTTTGTTGTATAAAACTTCCTTGGCTTGATGTTCAGTGAACCCACCAAAGCTGTAAGGAGTGATTAGAGCAATGTTTTCACTGAGTAATGTTTTCTTAGTTGTATGTAATAAGATATCTTACCTGTGTGGCTTTGTCCCTCATGCAAGGTGCAGCTTGTCCATGATTCTCACGAGGCCACTGTCCAGCAAGGTATGGAGCAGCAAGTATGTCTAGGGAAGGGGTACGACGAGCAATACTAGAAGGGCTTGATGATGGAGGTCGTGGCTTATCTACTAAAAAAGAAAAGAAGGCATGCCCATCATCGGTAGGAATAAAACACATTTTATGCTCACACTTTCATTCTGTTCCTTGTTTTTAATACTCAGCATATGACAGTTTTTATGAGGTTATGGATGTTTATTTTATCACAGTCCACTCATTCTTTGACAACAGAGATTTCCCTTGAACACAGATGTGCCAAAAACCACAAAGGCTTCCTATTATAGGCATTAAGAAAATGTTTGGTAGCAACATCTGACATCTTTTGATAGTTGTCTAGAGTGCCAGTATTTTTACAAAATTTACTCTGTACCATCAAGTCAGCTTCAAATTATGGCAACCATTGTGAATGACTTCCCCCAAGATTCAATGCATCTTCCATGACTTCTTTTCCTATTTACCACAGTATAATTCTTTTTTCAAAATAGATCCAAAGTAAGATAACTGTAGTTTTCTCATTCTGGCTTTTAGTGAAAGTCCAGCCTTTTACAATTTGGCTCAGGATTTGTCTTTCAGTGACCATGATATCTAGGAAAACAATCTTAAGGCTATTTGTACTGTACACCTTGCATACCCTTCCCTACCTGATGCTTTCAGCAGCACCAGGTAGCAAAGTGCATTAGTTACTTAAGCAACTATGTAGCACAACACTGAGGGATTGCAGGAAATTAAAACTACAACCCACACCCATTTATTGCTGCCATCTCCACAAGTCATCACCCTGCTCTGGTAAGCATGCTCAGGCTCATCAAAATACATTTTGCTCACCAATCACTCAAACCTGAGACCTACCCTTTTAGAAGTCTAACATTTCAAATATCCTCGGTATCTGTGTGCAATGTTATTACATCTCAGGCCAAATCTATGCTTTACATATCACAATATGGGAACATCAAACACCTGCCTTTTCAAAGAACAAGGAATGACATTTTTTAATTAAAAATGCCAGATAGTAATAAAGTCAGCAGGTTTGACTTCTGTAGATTTGGTCAATATTGTATCTCTGGGAATATCTACATTCTCCTGTGCAACTATATGGCCAACAACACCCCACCCCAGATGTGGGCTATTGAGTTACGCTAGAGGACCTAGAACACTCCTCTTAGATTTTAAAAAAGTGGGGGTTTTTTACTTGTGTGTTTTTCACATTTGTGGTGGCCCTGCACTCCAGGAAGTGGAGTAACTGTATCCAACTTAAATTTGCTTTATTTCTGTCTTCTATTATTTTTAGAAATGTCTGAAAAACAAACAACTAGTTTTGCATTTAAAAGAGGAAAAACATTTTTGTGCATAAACACATTTCTTCTCTTTCAAAAAGATTATCTCTTCCAGGAATTTTTAGGGTGTACTGTGAGATGTAAGCATTTTCTATTTTGAGGGTTAGAGAATGAAACTTCATGTTTCTACTGGCATCATCAGGTATGGCACAGATGGGAAAGAGATTATATTAACTTGGCTTCATCTGCTAAACAGAGTGGAAAAAGAAATGCCATCTCTTTATATGCAGTCAAATGCAAATCCAAGTCTAAGGATTAAACCATGAAACCCCATTCATTTGATGCCCCATCCCTAACAGATTTCTTGCATTTAGTGGAGTACCAGTTGGTTCACAGCAGGTTCTGATAAATCCTCATTATTCTAAACTGGTGTGTAGGATTCATGTCTTTTTCATGTTCATCACACATGATAAATGATCAGCCATTTCAATTTATTATAATTTGATTATTACGCAGTGTATGTTGAAATTTAATTTACAATGTCATTTTTAAATCTGAAAATTGTATATATGCAAATTATATACACGATACACTCATTTCTAAAGTAAAAATATCATCTATGAGAAATAAAGTCTGCTCTCTTACGTGGCATAAATGCTGTTTATATACAGTATTTTAATGTTTACAGCCAACAATAAATATATAATTCTGTTTTTGAAAGAGGAAAGTAGGTAATCTGGAAATGGGAAACCAAGCTTTGTAACTTTTATTTTAACTGGTCTTTTTGGAAATATTTAACACAGATCAAAAGTGACCTGATTCGTAATGAGTCCCCATTACCCATTACATCATCTATCACATTCTGTTAAGCTCTTCAACACTAAAAGATATGTAACTGTTTATCCAGTTACTCAAAATGTTCCTAACATACTGCCCTTTTTGTTATGTAACATCACTGCTTTTTATTCAGTCTTTTAACATTTTAAAATAAAAATGCATGTGGTGTAAGTTGTACAGTAAACAACTGGTTATAATGTCATGGATATCACAACCTCTATCCAAGGGAAAAAAACAATCAGCTGATCACAAAGAAAACAAAACCACAGACAAAACTCTATTCAGACAGCTCAGTTACATAGGATTTAACTTTATCTCCTTTTATCAAATTATTCTATTATTGTTTATATAAAGTCAATGCAGAAAACATCATACAAAGCATGTGCATGAACACATACAAAACACAGTTCTGTTAAGAACACAAGACTTGTATATAGCTCTGTCATACTGTCATCAAATAGACAATTAACATTATTTTAGGACATAGATGTCATTTTGCTTCATTCCTCATGCACTACCTTAATGTAATAATGAGCCATTGTAATCATGTTTCATATGACTTATGTTTTTTTTACTTGTGGCATATAAATACGTGCATTTATGGGGCTCATATGAAAAAATATGCACATAATATAATTAACTGCGCAAGACTGCATAAACCAGCCACTATTAACCCTAAAATTAAAGGTATTTAAACTATGTTATTATTTTTGAATACAGCCAACATATTTACTCATCTATATTCCTAAGTGAATTGTTAATATCTTGTTTTTCAAAAAGACGAAGGACATAGTATTTTCATTGTAATTTTCCCTCCTGTGCCAGCCCACCAACCCCCCCCTTGCCCACAACTGCTCAGCTGCTAGCTTCACATGATGTGACCTACATAACAAGAGATGCACTTGCTTCAAGATAGCAGTTACAACAGCTGGGAGGGTGAACAATAGTGGTATTTTAGCAATGTCTTATTTTATTAGACCTAATTACACTATGGCAATGGTTACAAATGTAATCTGTTTCTGCAGCTTGAAGTCCTCTTCACACAGGATAACCAAACTGCTGGTCCTTAATTAAGGATATCAGCACTTAATTTTGGTAAATATAATTGCCAGGACATAGTACTCGTCTACAATAAAGATTAGTATGTGTATATGCATATTATATGGTAGAAAAGAAACTAGTTATAAATAAAGCAGAAAGAGTTCCAGTTCTGAAATAGATATTTTGAAATTGAATGAATCACTCTATAGTAAAATTATGCAAAGCTATATACAACAAATGTCATTTAACTATTTTATGAAACAGGAACTAAGTACTTTCAGTAAATCTATGGTTTAGCTTTTTCATTTTACAGTTTGAGATACTCTTAAATGAGCTCATATACAACAGATATAGTAAATATAAATTTTAATATAATTTCCCTGATCAGTTGTTTCTGAGAATTGTGTTCAGGAAAGCAGGAAAAGGGAGTTTTTCTGGCTGTAAATAACACACACGCACACACCCTCTCTCTCAACAGGCACACAGAATAATAATTTCTATGGACTTGTTTCCAAGACTACCAGATTTAAAACTAAAACACCTAAGAACCTATCAAAAACACTGATCACACTCACTAATACAAATGTGCAAGATTTCTTTTCATCTTCTTTGAGAAGTAAACTGATCTGGTTCACAATTCCTAGCAGCCATCCTTTCAATGCAACCTTTCCCTGAACTCCATAATACAGCCTTTGACTTAAAATGAACAAAAATTGATATTTTCCCATAAAATGCTTACACATTTTCCTCTTTAAAATACCCTAAAGTTTAATGCAGAAATGAATGAATACAAATGAAACAAAGAGACTGAAAATACTGAGCCACCCATCCCTAAAAGCATTTGCCAGTTCTTCCAAAAGGCTGTCAAAACAAAAATCTCAACAGAAAGGATGTCAGCACAGAGAAAGCCAGGATTCCAGCAGCCAGTCATATAAATCAAGGAAAGCACGGCAGTTAAAGTCCTCAATAATTTAATAAAGTGAAGCAAGGAATAAACGGTGTTGTAGTTCTAAATTATAAAACTGAGTATGAAGAATATCAGTGTTGCTTGGTGGAAAATCACAAATTCACTGGCATGTCTTTGTTAACAGGAATATCTAACATGTTTGCTCTACTACTTGAATACACAAACAGGAATGGGTGTTTCTGCATAGCACCTAGGCTACATGCTTGCCATCTGGTAAAGAACAGAAATCCCATTGCTACACAATCAGTGCATGGACTGCCCCTCCATGCCAGCTCAAAAATCCAGCTAGCCCTAATCTAGCAACAGATGCTGTATTTCCCTGCATGTGCCACACCACCATTTTGCAGACAGCAATCTAGAAAAATAATCAGTTTCCCCAGAAAACATCAGACCATTTGAAGTGTAAACACCCAAGATGCCCTGACACACAACTCAATTGTGTAGTTCTTGAGTGAAAACCTTGTAGATGACCACGGAATGGAATACTTATGATGAGTACGTTATGCCTACAAATATCTGAGCATTATCCGTAATTCCCATTATAATTGAAAACTGTTCAGCCAGACCTGCTTGGCAATTTTAAAAGACAAGGCAGGATGTAATTAGGATTATTATGCAAGGACTTTTTTTTTTTTTTTGCTTATCTGTGGTGCCGGCTATCATAAACATTATGAACAGCCCCTTTTTTCTCATTATTAATGTTAGTTTATTTTATGTGCGATCCAAGATAATTCTTCTTCTTGCAATATAGTACAGAGAAGCCAAAAGTTTGTATACCCCTAATCTAATGGATTCATACCAGCAGTGACTGAAAGCTCATTCGAGGCTGATTTAGCATCGATTTCCATCCACTCCAAATTTGGGGGCAGAAGAGACTTGGTCAAACCACAAAGGAGTCCCTGGGTGCACCTTCGTAAATTGATATACTTTTCATATATCTCTGATGAAAGGG